TCCTTGGCTTTATGTCCAGAGGAATAGAGTACAAAAGTAGGTGAAATTTATGTCAAATTTTGGTTTAACCACATTTGGGGTATTGTGTACAATTTTGATCGTCAACTATACAGGATATCTCGAGACAAGTGCGAGGAGACCTGATAGAGGTGTTTAAGATTATGAAAATATTTGATATTGTGGACGTTGATAGGCAGCTTCCACTTGTTGGCAAGTCCAAAACAAGAGGGCATAAATATGATAGCTAGTAGTAATTCCAACAAGGAGTTTAGGAGGAACTTCTTTAGGGTGGTGAGAATGTGGAACTCACTGCTGGAGGCTGTGATTGAAGCATAACAGTATCAATATATTTAAGAGGCAATAGAGGAGTAAAGGAGATAGGAATAGGAGGGGTAGAGGCTCATGTGGAGTATAAACATATGAATAGACCAAATCGCCTGTTTCCTTGCTGTATTTCTCTATGTCACTCTATGAAACCAGTTCAATTCCATCACTTTATATTCTTTGACAGTGCCTTTTTTTTAAACTAGCAACACTTCTACAGCTCCTGTTATATTACTCAGATACTCTTACAGGGGAGTGGCGAGTGAGAAAGCCTAGGTAAGAGAGCTTCATCTCAGCAATGGCACCTCCTATTCCTGCTGTGCCAGTTTCATGCTGAGAGTGAGTGAGTGGCTGTGAAATGCAATGAACTCTCTGAGAAATTGAATCTGGTACACTGGAATTTATTAGCCAGAGCTGGCAAGATGCAGTTGAGGTCCTGTCTTTTGTGGTGTATGCTACTCTGCACGCCTACTTTAACATTCTGATTGTTACATTGGTAGCCAGACAGATTGAGCCAGGTCTGCACATAATTCACTGATGATGTGAGAAGTCAGTGATAATAATAATCCATGCATTTGATATAGCGGCTTAGCACGTCTTCGAGACTTCTCAAAGCGCTTTACAGAATCTAATAATCCTTGCATTTGATATAGAGCCTTATCACGTCGAGATGTCTCAAAGCGCTTCACAAAATATACTGTAAAGTAAATTGACTGTATATTTTGTGGACAAAACAGGGCAGCCAATTGCCCACAGCAGTGTCCCACAAACAGTAATGGATTGAGTGACTAATTTATTATTTTTTTTTTTGAAAAATTATTACCCCGGAAAAGCAACCCACAAATTGACTAACAACCGGGTTCCTACTTACTGCTAGGTAAACACAGGCATATGGAGTAAGGAAACTTGCCCAACATTTTGCTCTGCCAGGAATCGAACCCAGGTCCCTCGCTTGTGAGGTGAGTGCTCTAACCACTGAGCTACAGGACTCCATGAAAGTTGAATGTTTAGGATCCTTTGTACATCCGAATTAAAAGATCCCTGAACTGTATTCAGTTATCTGATCTCAATTGGAACACCAGTAGAAGTCCTACACTTGGCCTCAATATCTCTGTAATAAAGAGAAATCAGTAGATGATCACAAAATATGTTTCAACAAGATTACCCCGCCATTGAATAGTTTGGTGTCAGCGGATAAATATGAAGAACATCACCCTTAGCCAAATAAACCAGTCAATAAAAAGATTCCTACAAGGAGTCTCCTCGTTTGGAGAAAATTGAACAGACTGCAGTCAAAGCGATTATATTTATGATCTAGCTGCAGGGACCTAGAAAATTTTAATGATGTATGATTTAAATGATGTATGATTTTCTTCTAAAGCATTTTTCGCCCTGTACCCATCCTCACCTGAAGGAAGGATCTCTTGCAGTTCCTGGGGGCTGGCAGTCATTTCATGGAAACTCAAACACTAAATTACTAGGCAGGAAAGCATCCACAGCCAAGCCTGTTCCTGCCATCACACACACACATTGGTTAACATTGAGTTAAAATAGCATTCTCCAAACCAGCACTGAAATGCCGAGACCTTTCCGGCAGCAAGATCAAAAGCACTGCTTGCCAGGCTGAATAGCTGCAGAACTCAGCTTTTGAGAAAAAACTATTGTAAATAGTCGGGCAGAGTTTATTTCCTCTGCAGCTGTTATCGTCTGGGACTTTGCTAGCAGCAGAGTGTTCCAGGTTATCTTAATGCATTTTTCACATGGTGGAAGGGAAAATATTTTGTGCAAGAGGGAAACCAAGCTTCTTGGGTGCAGCTTTGACAGAGGAGATGCCAGAGCTCAACTTGAGATAATGAGGACTATTGCCTTGTCAATAGATGGAGAATCTCAATGACAAGTCAGTCCAGAATCCCAAACCTCCCAGAATTATAGTTCAATTCTCCCGGATCGAAGCTTCTCCCAAAAACTACTCTTCCTTTTTCCATTCATATTTACTTTCCTCCTTCTTTAAAGAGTTTCACAACCATTTTTCCAATCATTAGAGACCCATTCCGGCTCACAGGGATCTGCTAATACAACTCTAAAAACAGTGCATGATCACACTTCCTGTCCTCATCTCCAGGGAAGCATTACTTGCTCTGTATTCAATATCTCCAGTGGACCAGCCGGCCGTATATAATGCTCTATAATGCTGTACTTGTTTACTGTTAGTATAAATGTTTATAGTCTCCATCTCAAGGTTTACCAATCCTAGGGATAAGATATAAACCAAAAGAAATTTAGTTTGAGATGTAAAGCCACTTATGCTTTAAATATAAATCAAAGTCATCATCAAGCAACTACAATTTGTCATATGTTGAGTGGAAGCCTGGTGAGATAGGGACAAGACTGGGCTCATTTATCTGAGCATTTTAAATATATAAATACCTGTACTGCCTCAAGCAATGTTAAAGGTAGTGCTCAACATGGTCATAATTCAGTCCGCCTTGCAGCAAAATCTAAAAGTTTTTTTTGCAGTAATAGTGCTTATCAAACTGAAGTATAAACTCATGATCCCTGACTATCCAGCGCCTTGGGATGTCCTCCCAACATGAAAGGTGCTTTACAAATGTAATTTTGTATTGTATGATCAGAAGTTTAAGGTGGAGTAATAGCCCCATCTGCTGGTTTTAGGTAGAAGTGCAATAAGACACAGAAAGAACAATAATCCTTGCATCTGATATAGCACTTCTTATGTCTTCTAGACATCTCAAATCGCTTCACAGAATATACTGTACACTGTACAATGAAAAGGTAACAGCAACCAACAATATAGAACTCTAAAAATTCCAACAGCACAGGCTGTTGATTCAATCTATCGAGCCTATACTAATGCCAATACTGCATTTATGCTATACTCCTACACTAACTACTCAGCTAACCACTCTTTAAATGTGTATTCCAAGATGCAGAAGTATATAAGATGGTAAATGGGATGCAGAAGTATATAAGATAGTAAAGGAAATCCAAAATACGTTCAGATGTACCAAGGCATGATTAGGGCACCGACTGGCTTTGGGTTATGGAAAGCGATTTTAAGACAGACAGTGGCACTATTTGCATCATTTTTCATCTCCCAGTATTTTGTCTGCAAGGCAACACTCCATGGGGGGTGGGGGTGGGGGGGAGTTTCTTTGTTGCTGGAGCTAGAGCAGTCAGGGCCGGCCCTATATGTGGGAGTGTGTAACTCAATCCACAACTGTTTGTGGGACACTGCTGTGCACAATTGGCTGCCACATTTTGCCTACAAAACACAATCCACTTTACAACATATCCTGTGAAGCGCTTTGAGATATCCCGGTGACTTGACATGGCGCTATATCACACGCAATGATTATTATTATTATTTTGGATGTGCTTCTTTCATAAAAGATTCCAAATCGGATCTTGATTTAACCAGGAAGATTTGGTCTTATACTCAAGCTCAGCAAATATTTATAGGTTTAGTGGCTATTAATCTAGTCACATATACACACACTTTATAAGAACAAAAAGTACACGCTGTTGATCTGGTCATTGATTTGCCAGCGATGAGACCTGGGTCATAATACAAATAATTCCTTTTGTGAATAATTTGAAATTTAAATTACTCAACCATTCTGTTCTTGGAATTGGATATTGGATGTTTATGACAAAAAGTTCCAAAGCTGCCATACTAAAACTGAGATGATAATACCGTCCCGTCAAATCTCCTACCCTCTAGAAAAAGCAAACTACATACAGCAGCCTAGATATGTCTTGGTTCAAAAGTAAATCTCTCCAGGGTCAAGAGCAATGTTCCCACTAAATCCTGAATACCTTCACAGCATTTAGTAATAAGGCCAGCCTATATTCTTAATGCATGACAAGTACAAAAGATTTGATGCAGAAGCTAGTATCACACAAGGGTTATAATGCAGATTAAAATGAAAGCTATCATTATCAAACCAAAAACAAGCTATCTGTCGGTAACAAAATGTCTAGTGTGAGGTTTTATTCAAATTTGTAAGAAATATTTCATGTGATGGAAATAATCTAATTCTATTAAAGGAAATACTCCAAACTTTTCCCAACATTTTTACTTTTTGCAGATTAGGAAGCTGATTGCCAGTTACATTCATGTCAAAACAGAAAAGATAAACATCAAAGTCAGAAATATGAATGTTTCAGACCAGATAGCAACACAGCTTTAATCATTTCTATTAAAATAGTTAAGCCAAAGTTTGAAACATGACTACATAATCTACTTCAGATGGTATAATAAACAAGAAAATAACATTGCTGTGCATGATCTTACTGAAAACTAGAACATTTTTAATTTTTGTGCGTTCAGCATAACAAGCGCTCAAGCAAATGCCAAGATTAACACTCCTTTAATGCAACAATAAGATTTCCATTCCCATAAACATCGAAACGACAAATTATGAGTCTATTACCCAGTGACATTTTTGCAATTTGAGATATTCACTAGAAATAGTTTATAAGTGAGGACGGCTATTACTTTTCTACATTGTCCTGTCCCTTTATGAAATGCTTAACAGTAATGCCTACAGTTTTGTTTAAATGGTCTCTCAAATTGTCTTTTGGATTTATTTCCTGTTTCATGCAGTTTCTTTACATATTGGGTATTTGAAATTTAGATGATTTTTTTCTTCTTTGAGTAACATTCAAGCCTATGTCCCAGCAGCAAAAGGACTGTGTTCTAACCCAGTGATCTCATCCAATCCTGCCAATTAAATTGTAAAATCCAACCACAGGTAGAGTCACAGTTTAATCTACATTGACTTCTGGAGATATCGATACGCACTATGTTTCTAACAGAACGTTTGGAAACTAGTCCATTTGTCATAATTAACCTGACTTTTTTTAAAACTAAGTCAGAATAATAACAGAGAAAAGACTACGTTCACATTTCTTTAATCGTGGGACTGTACACATTTATATAAGCACTTCAGGACTCTCTTCGAGTGGTCAGAGACAATTAAAGATTTAATCAGTCCTAAATGCTGCAGACAGTATTTAACAAACTCCAGTCAACAATGGCAGGATCCTGGTGACTGCCTTGAATTACAGTGTGTATAAGGTTCACTTCTTGGCAGCATTGAATCTCTGTGCTACATTCTCCCAATTGATAATATTCCAAATGGCTTTTACATAGTCTGGCCGCACATTCTTGTATTGCAGGTAGTAGGCATGCTCCCACACATCTATTCCAAGTAGAGGGATTAGACCTGAAACACACATAGCATGTTGGCTTTTAATTATCCCATAAAAGCAACTTGGCACCAAGTAAATACTTACCTTTAAAGTTTGCCTTTAAATCTAGCAACAAGTAAATACAACAAGTTGATATTGATAATAGTGCCTTTCACATCAGGAGGACGTCTCAAAAGCTTTTCACAGAACTGGTGGGGGAAGGAAGTGGGGGGAGGGGGGGAAAACGGAAAGATGACCAAATAATAACAGCTTACATTTATATAGCACCACTCATGCAGGGTAGCTTTCCAAATACATAAGCATTCGAGTTTCTTTTGCTGTCCTCAACAGAAGCCCAAATAATTTATTTTGTCGTTAAGCATCAAAAAGAACTTGAACAACAATAAGAATACCACTCACAACAAACATAAGCTCAGTTCCAATATTGCTGCTATTGGTGAGGAGAAAATACATCACCACAAGTCCAGATATTTCACAACACTTGGAACAACACTTGTATGTACAAAATCCCAGATTGCTGAGTTACATTGTTGTAGCCCTGGACTTCCTTTCTAGTAAAACATTTTTTAAAACAATATTCGTCAAAACAGGGGCAGGAAAAAGAGGAGAATAAAATCAGGTTTGGGTGTTGTTCCTAAGTTTGGAGCCAGCAGGTAATGATTATCAATACCAAACTGATTACATAACAGCAATATAATACAACATTACATTTGTATAGCGCCTTTCATGTCAGGAGGACGTCCCAAGGTGCTGGACAGTCAGGGATTTGGACCCGAGCAGGTAGTGAGGGATGGGGGGGACAGGATTGGCATAAGGTAGGGTGGAGGACAGCCCAAGGTGTAGTCGAAGAGGAGAGTCTTGAGACGTGCCTTGAAGGAGGCAAGGGAAGGAGCGAGGCGAAGGGAATGTAGGATGGAGTTCTAAAGGGTGGGGGCAATTCATGCAGACTAAACCATGTGTATTAAAGAGAGAAGAAAGCTCTGACCTGTTGTTCCTTGCAATGGGTCCTGATTTGGACAAGCAGCTAGCTGCAGCCTTCCAGCATCCTTGTTGTAACCGAGCCATCCCCAGCCTGAACCCTGAACACCTACTGAAATGGTAGACATCTTCTCCTTAAGCTTCTCAAAAGTACCAAAGTCACGTTTGATGGCTGCCATCAGCTCCCCTAAGCAGTTACACAAATATATGTTAGTAAGCATTCACCAACTCAAACATTAAACAAATTATACAATTTCAGCCTTTTTTTACAGTAAGAGAATATGAGATGGGACATTGGAAATACAATGACGTGGATGATTTGAGGTGAAAGTTTATATCAGCAGACAACCTCCTGCATCAGAAATTCTAGGATGAGCGTTACTTTGGAGTCAGCAATATGTACCAAAGCAAATTCAGTATTACTTTTTTTTAAAAAACAGCTAAAAGTTTGACGCACATCTAGTGCCTTTTTGCTATGATAAATGATCCAATTACCAGCTTCAAAAAGCCTTGGGGCAAATCTCACCTGGGGTGAATTTGTATGTTTGGCAATATAAACTAGAACACAGACTCCTGATCAAGTCCGTGAGACTTCTCACCAATGGATATAAAAAATTGGAATATCTGTACATGATCCTGAATGTGTGCATTGACATCATTCAGCGAGACAAGCTTGAACATTTGTAGCACCCAGTTTATGTGTAAAACACCCCAGGATCAGGGTGCAACACTATTGTAAACAAACTGAATTAAAAGCTTTTCTTCAAAAGTAAGCACATAACGATCAAAGACAGCAATTCTAACCAAACAATAGTATCAAAATAAGGCAACAATTTCTCCTGACAGCTGAACAGGTAAACTTAGTGAGCTAAAACAGGTCCCAGATTCAATTACTGAACTGTGTCAAAGTAGCTGTTCTCAATAGGGAAGCAAATAGCATGTTATAATTGACTACAAGTCTTTCTGGACAGACAGTGTGATGGGGAAGGAGAAAAATAAACTAATCAGTGAATTTTTGGGCTTTCATAATGGATTCCTTGAGAAAACTATCACAAGGAACCAGTTAGGAAACTTCATAAATCTCTTCCCATCTCTTAATTATCGCCAGGCTGCACTTGTCACTCTGCTTGTAGAGAATGTTAGTCAAATGACAACTTAAGAGGAATCCCTTCACTCAAAATTCCCAAGAACCATAGCCAAGGAACCCAATAAAATTAAGTGTTTTTCCTCTACGTTTCTTAAAAGATATTATGCCTCTATAAAAGCAGATTGGATCGCTGATCATAAATCAAGGTGGCAGCTGCTGCCCTCCCTGTACAGGAAACAGAGCTGACCAATAGAGGAGTGCAGCCCGCAGTAATTAAGGAACACAAGAAACTTGTTTATTATGAAATAATTTCACCCCCATGTTAGTTAACATCTCCTTTCCTGATCACTAAGGGTGTGTTTGCGTGGGTACCATGTGAGGAAAGAATCTGCACGGGTTCACAGATAAGATACCAAAACGCTTCTGATATCTGGAATTACACCCCACTATCATAGCAGCAACAAAAAGGGGAGAAGTTGAAATTATCTGGTGCAAGGTACAAGCATTTTGTTCCATCATCTTTAACTAAATAATTGGAACAGAAAATCCACAAAACAGCTTTTATTTATAGTGAGAGTGTGTGTGTGTGTGTATGTGTGCGTGTGTGTGTGGGGGGGGGGGGGGGGGGGGGAGGGAAAGAGAAGAGGGGACAAAGTTTTAACATTGAAATTATACGATGAAAATCCACTGAGTAAAAAGACTTTAAAGTGCACATTGTGAACCTTAGTTTCGATTTGCAAACCTACCTGAAGGTTCTCCGCCACCATTAGGAGACAGATTGGTCCAGAAAATAGAATGATTAATATGGCCCCCACCATTAAATCGCAATGCTGGCTGCAAAGACACCTGAGTGCTCACATCACCTGAAATCATCAAAAACAAACCGGTGAAAAACCTTTTGCAACAATGACCATTAACAAATTAGAGCACAACTATTGAGTGTAATGAAAGCAGAACCAATATCAGGTAGTCATCTCAAAGTGCTGCCATTAAGCCGTCTACTTGTATCTTGGCGTAAACCAATTAAAAGCACCCAACGCGTGAGGAAACAAAAGATTAAACTGAAAGAATTTATAACGGTCGCAACCAATTGAAAACAGTGACTCCTTCCAGTGACCGACATCGACATGACAACTCCACTCCAACGTGACCTACCTCTGGAGCAGTTAGCAACTGCTCCCATTGCGAATTACCATCATTTCACAAGTTATGTGAAAGCACTGGAATCCTAACAAGTTACTGCACATTGCAACTTTCCATCTTCTTAAGTTGTGATACACTATACTGGTGAAAACCTTAATGGTAAATAAAGTCCTCATGGTTGCACAGTAAACTACCAGTTGTTGCAGAATAGTGTAATGCAGAACCACATGCACTGGATATAAACAGCAAAATTCTTCCAAGTGTTAACATATTTTCTTCAGTACAAGACCAAAAGAACACAACCAATAATCTGACTAAATATTTTAGAAGTACAATTTGATCTTTTTGGTCACTAATGAACCTTACTTTCTAGTGGTTCCAGCACCATGACTCAAAAACTCATAGTGAAGAATGCTCAACTACCAACGATGAGTGATTGACTGACACAAATTCCCACATTAAAACACTTTATAAAATAAATGATCAAGTCTTGAAATATTGAAGTCAAGAATGTAGTAATCAGACAAATTTTTTTAATCCTTCCATATCATAAATGGTGCATTCCTATACATTACAATTCCTCTAAAAAGCGGTAAATTTAACTTAAATTATTTAAAATTTTAATTTAACTTAACTTTAACTTGCCCTTTAACTATCACCCATACAGTATTCAAAACAGTAATTTATCCACAATAAATCTTTCAGATAAAAGTACCTCCACCATACATAATAATAATCCTTGCATTTGATATAGAGCCTTATCACATCTTTGAGACATCTCAAAGCGCTTCACAGAATATACTGTGAAGTTAATTGACTATATTTTGTGGGAGAAACGCAGCAGCCAATTGCGCACAGCAGTGCCCCACAAACAGTTGTGGATTGAAGTGATCACTTTATTATTTTTTTAAAAAGGAATTGTTACCCCCAGAAAAGTGATCCGCCAATCGACTAACAACCGGGTTGTTAACAACATATATACATACCAACTGGGTTTTAAGATCGATTGCAATCCATTTACTTGTTTATATTGACTGAATATGGCTGTCGGCATAAAAGTGCAAAATGTTTGGAATATTTCCTCCTGATCAGCTACCATGTGATTTCTAAGACAGCACAATTCAGGGATAGCCAGAACAGAGTTAATTAAGGCAGAAACAACGAGACAGTGAACTGCCAACATAATATGCTGTAACATGACGGTGATGGGTCACATTCATGACCACAAGGGATCTCAGTAGTATAGTTTAAGGACATCCCAAGAGTAGGCCACGTACTTTCCTTGGAGGGTGTCAAAATACAGAAAGGTGTCCAGGGCCATTGATGTGGCACCAAGTATACAATGACACAGCCTGTATCCACATTCCAAGGGAAAGGCAGATCTGGATTGACTTCTAACATAATCTAAAAGACCTGTCCCATTAGAGAACTGTTCAGGGAGACAAGGCAAATCCCTATAATGTACATTACCAGATCAGCTGAAAAAATGATCCCAGAGAATGGATAACAGAGGATTCCAGCCATGTACAATAAATATTGTACTTCTGCAGATATGGAAATTATTTCTTTCTTGTTTAAGCGATACTATCAGTCCTGCACTTACCAGTAATTCTCAACTATTGTGCAATGTTTGCATATTGTTTCTGTTCCATTTCCTGTTCGAACACAATAATTAAAAATTATCCCACTATTAGACATTAAAAAAGGAATGGGGGGTGGGGGAGACAGCATTTACTGAGTAATGTACTCCCTCAGCTTTAAAAAAAAGATTCACACATACTTTACCTGCAGCAAGAAATCCTCTCAGGAAGTGGATCCTATGACTGACCTCCCCAGCTGCTAGCCCAATCCACTGACATGTTGCAGAGAAGCCGAGCATGTCCCCAAGAACCCCCATTTAACAGGGCGGGGGCTTTGGTTCCAAACTTGGGACGTCCTCACAACATGAAAGGCGCTATACAAATGTAATTTTATTGTTGTTTGCTGTCCAGAGTTCGTCAACTTGCTCTGATTCTTCCCTTCCTTGCTAATTGTAAGGTACCCTGTCCATCACTTTACATTTCCCAGTGCAGCCCAGTTAAGGTCGGGAACTCAGCATATGGGACGATCATAAGTATGGATACGCATCAAATCAACTACAGCAATGCATCCCACCAACTTCAGCAGCATTAAGTATCAACGTTTTTAAACATGAACTATTTTTCAGCGGCCAGTTTATGGGCACTTTTTTGAGGTTGAATCATCTTACAGAAGATAAATTTTGGAAGGCAAAGCATCCCTGCCCCAGTTATGTAAATGAAAGAGATTGATCCAAGCAGCATTTTTTTTTAATCCCGGCTGCTTTTTAAAAAAAAGTCAGCACATTCTTCCTGGGTCATTTACATTATTACTTGCGTCATAAACCTTGTGCTCACTTACCTTTAGCCAAGGACTCTGCATACTTCTCCTCTGTGACATTTAAATTATTCACATAAGTAGCATGATGTTTGCTGTGATGCAGTTGCATGATTTCTGCACCAACATGTGGTTCCAGTGCACCATAGTCATAAGGCAGATCAGGCAGGGTGTGCTTTTGCCTCGAGGCCAAACAGCGCAAGACTGGAGAAATGGTGTAAGTACATCTGCAGGAAAATGAAAGTTCTGTTAATCCACCTGCAAATCAAACTGAAATTTACTTTAGCCTCTGGAAAAATGAAATACTCAATGCTGAGCTGGCCCCAAGGTAATATGCTTGGTTAAGGAATGTAGGAAGTCATCTCTGTGGCTGTCTCATTGTCTGATTCTCAAACTGGGCAGCTTTACGTTACGCTAAGGCAATGCTGATGGCAGACAGTTTGGCTAATTGGTAGGACTAGGAGGTGAAGGTCAATCACTGGGGATAGAGATTCTTCTCAATCAGCTCCTGTTAGCCTTGCAAGCCAAAGCCCCAATAAGTAGCGTAGTCTGAGTTGGTAACCAGTAGGAAGCTTGGCAGAGAGACCTCTTAACAACAAACTATGTGGCTTAAATGGTTAGACAAGAACATGCACTTATATAGCGCTCTTCACACAGGGTAGTGTCTCAGAGCGCTTAAACTCCAGCAATACCCCAATTCACACTCTAGGATCTCCAAACCTAGTCTCTCACCAATCTGGGCCTAATATTTTCTGGATTTAGGGTGTGCTCCTCCAGGGAGAGTGTGTGCATTCCATTTTAGATAACAACAACAAATTACATTTGTATAGTGCCTTTCATGTCAGGAGGACATCCCAAGGCGCTGGACAGTCAGGATCCACACCCGAGCTGGTGCTAGGGGTAGGAGGGTGATCAAAAGGCACGGTCGAAGGAGATTTCCATACATAGGTGGCATGCAGTCTGGTTTGGATACTGAAGCATGATGATGGATTTTCACGTATGTCAGACCAGCTGACAAAAAATAAAATCAGTATATCGTGGGTCCACATTGAAAGTGGGGTACCATGAAGCAGTAGTATACTGAGATGCAGAACACTCACATCGCGAACTAGACACTTCCTGCACATTATATACAGAAAGCCTCCGAGCGTCAGCAACATTCTAACTAGCACTTTACAAACATGTGAGGGGAAGCTAGTCACTGACTGACTGGCTTCCTGCACAAAACTCTGCTTATTATCATTAATGGCGACCAAACAACCTAAAACCACTGACTGGAGGACATTTATCACTAGATCTCCTTCAGCTTCCCCTTGACAAGTTCTATCCCATCCAAAGGGTACTTGTGTTTCCTATTCTTTTGTCCTATAAGTAGTACCTTGCCTTTATCTGTATTAACCTTCATTTGTCAGTTATCAGCCCATGTGCATACCCTACCAAGTTCTCTTAGTAGGACCTTTGTTGCCTCCTCTGATTTCAGTTTTCCCCCCAACTTGGTGTAACCTTCAAATGTAACTATCTTACCATTGGGTTTGTGAATCCAGGTCATTAATATATGAAGAACAGGAGGGCGTCCCAGTACAGAACCTTTTCTGTGAATCCACTGCAAAAAGGATATCAGAGATATGCAAAGGGTACAGTGAAGGTCCACAAGGTGGAACTGGGTAAAAACTACTATGATAGTTTTGAATTGGAGTTGGTGTCCACAGAACAGAGAAGGTTAAGGAGATTACTCTAATAAAGGTCTTAAAAATTATAAAATGTTTGAGGATACCTGATCAAAAAGGATCAAAGGAAAAGTTAAGGGGGAGTTTAGAAGAAACTAATGCAGAGGGTTATAAGAATATGGAATCCTTTATCACATTGTGGCTATGGGTGATGATATTTATAGGAGAACTGAATAAAAATTTGAAGAGGAACAATGTAAGAGGATACAGAGAATTGGGTTTAGTTGGTTCTATTTATCAATGTTCTGGTTCAAAAGATCAAAACATGGTTCAAAAGATGATTCCTTCGTCACTGAATAGAAAGGAAGATTCACTCAGGGATAAGGAATGGAAATGCCAAGAGCTGGTCTTCTTTAAAACTATAGTTTTATTTTTACTAGCTTTTTCCCATTTTAAGAGGGCAAGGGTACTGGCCAAGCATACTAATAACTAAGAGTAACGGCACTGACAACCTTTTTTGCTTCAATCATTTATGCAGTCAGCAAATTAATAATCGTTCAAAGTAAACATCAGTTAATCTTTGCCCTTTGAACATCATATATTTTGTACCATACTAACTAGTTCAAGGTTCTCCTTTGAGGCCTCATTCCCAGTTGTGATACCACTAACTATCAACGATTTGAATAGATGTGCAACATTCTTTGATTCTTTATGAAAGATGTACTTAATTCATTTTTAAGATCATAAAACATTGAAAGTTACAAATAAAAATTCCCTAATTAAAATAGTATTACATTTAAGAAAGGTTTATAGTTCAAGTGTGGTATCAAACCCTACCAATGAATCAGGTGAAATACATCAGTAAATGTATTCTCCACAGAAATGAGAAGTCACATCGGGGGAAGGAGCAGATTTCCCTATAACCTAGAGAGAATTTTTACATGTTGCTCATTGTGGACAGCAGACGACCTTCAGAACCAAGGCATCAAATAGCGAATGTGAAGGATATAATTCCGCTGAGATAGGCAAACTCTCAGTATGGAAAACTACCAGAATGTCTCCGAAATGTCTCAAAGTGCTTCACAGAATCTACTGTAAAGTGAGTCGACAATATATTTGTGGGTGAAACGCGGCAGCCAATTGCGCACAGCAATCTTAGTTTGGTACAAGACACGTCAAGCGACTGCCAGGATAGTGGAAGGCCAATTAGATGGACCTTGGTCTTCTTTCACCTGGCAAATTCGTATGCTCTTATGTTCTTATTCGTATAGTGCCCTTCACACGAGGTAGCTTCTCAGAGTACTTCTCAAAATAGAAAAGTAAGATTAAAGCCAAAGTACATGTTTGAGCCAATCAGAAAGTGGGATTGTTTTGGGGGGTCGGCCGGGTGTCTGACACATGGGGAAACCCATCACCATGCTTAATAGTATCCAAACTAGAGTCCAACCAGCTAAAATTGCATAACTTGCCATTATTATTGATGTCTGGCAAGCTTTCCCACTGCTTGTCCAGCTTGGACCACCCAACCTGTTAGGGCTTTGGCCTGCAGGGTTAACAGGAGCTGAGTGGGATAAATTCTGCAGACCTGCTGGATCAGGAAACAGAATACCGAGACCGCCACAGAAGGTTGGCTTGATTACAAAATTACATTGCCAGGCATGTCAACTTGGAGCCAGTTCAGTTCCAAGGTGACCCAAGTTGGATAAGGGGACTGTGATCCAAATACAAACAGGAGGCAGCACATCAGATAGATTGTTAGGCCCGCACTTCCATTTCAGATGATACTATAATACATTTCACATGTCAATTATTTCATTTGCAAACCTGACTTGCCCTAATACTCCACAAGAAGTTGGATAACTCTACATAATGAGAGGAGCAATCACTCAACAACAACAGCTTGGATTTATATAGCGCCCTCCATGCCGGATGGCATCTCAGAGCACTTCACAGTACCGGATCCTGGGGCCGAGCCAGGGGGAAGGGGAAGGAAGGTGACCAAAGGTGCGGTCGAAAAGAAAGGTCTTCAGCCGAGACCTGAAAGCAGGAAGAGAGGGGGCGAAGCAAAGGGAGTGAGGGAGGGAGTTCCAGAGCCTCGGGGCGTAATGGCTGAAGGCACAGCCGCCGAGGGTGGAGCGGAGGACTCGGGGGACAAGGACGAGGCCAGACCTGGTGGAACAAAGGCAACAGGCACTGTTGTGAGGAGAGAGGTCAGAGAGATAGGGGGTGCAGAGGAGTGGAGGGATTTGAAGACAAGGGTGAGGATCTTGAAGACATCAGGTTGCAGAGAATCTTTACACGAGCATCGCAGCACTGCTGCTTAGCTTTTCAGACCTTGAGAGCTGAAGCTCAGTGTACCTTAATCAGTATACAGCAAACAGTATCAAGTAAAGGACATTGTGTGTTCAGTGAACTATAATAGTGCAGCATCCTGGCAAATCACCATTTATTGACAGCACTAAATTTCTTTGAAATTCTTTGAATTTTACAATCTTTTCCAGGGTTTTAGGGAGTCTCAACATGTTGAGTTGGTTTGAATGAGTACAAGAATGCTCGCTCAGTTCACTTTAACACAGCTTCTCAGAATCATAACTTTAGGATTGCTATTGATGCAGCTGCACTGAGGATAGATCTATTTTATCTTGGCTGCTGAGAACAGTGCAGCAAGGAAAACTAAATATAGGATGTGTCATATCCACAAAATTATTCAAACTATCTGTTCTGTTGTAAGGTGGCTTTATAAGGAGGGACTCTCTGTAACTAAATTGTGTATGTTTTTCAACAGGTTCAAGCATGTCCATTTTCTGGGCTTGTGGGTTTAGGCTAAATATTGATTCTATTGTACTTACTTGTATTGTACTGGACTATGAAAAATGCCCATCATCGTAAAATATTTCTATTGTCAGCTCCTCACACAAATAGCCAGAAATAAGCTTCAGTGTATCAAATAAAATTTTTAGGCCCTAATAAGAAATGTGCAGCACAAATTTTAAGCATATGCACACTTAAAAGTATATAAATATAAACAATTGGTTGTGGCAGTATACGGCTGCTTCTTACTCTGAGCTGTAGTTAAAAAAGTGATTAGGCAGTGGCTGCCCTTCAGGACTTTATAATAATAATCCTTACATTTGCCTGACATCTCAAAGCATTTCACATGATATACCATAAAGTGTAGCGACTGTATTTTGTGGACAATCGCGGCAGCCAATTTTAAACAGCAATATCCCACTAACAGCCATGAAGTGAATGACCATTTTTTTGGGTGGAGGGGGATTGTTGGCCAGAAAAATGAAAAAACTCCCTTCTCTTTTCAAACAGTGGAGAGATGCACTGACATTTTAGTCTAACCCCTCAGGGGTCAGCAAAATAAAGTTGAATGTTCGACCTGCTACAATGTTTCCAGCAAGTCAATTAATCAAGCATTTGACGCGCTTTGAGACGTCTCGAAGATGTGATAAAGCACTATATCAAATGGAAGGATTATTACTATAATCAGCTCAAGAGATTGGCTCATTAATTAGGGAGGGGAAGAGAAAGATCCCCGTATGATCAATGCCTGAACTTACACAAGGGAATCTTATCAGTAAAGACAGACCAAATAGACAACCTGATAAATAAGGATAAAAAGTCACAAATTCAACATTTGGGCAACACTGACCAAAAAAGGAAAAACTGCCTTTAATAAAAAGAAAAATAAGCAGACATTTTCTGGATATTTTTCTCTATTGACCAGAAATGCTCAAGTTATAAGAATAGATAACCAATCATTTACATAAGAAATAATGTTTCCACGATATTTCCCACAGAGTGGTTGAATAATAATATTACTTGCATTTGATGCAGTGCCTTATCATGTCAGCAAGATGTTTCAAAACACTTCACAGAATATACTGTAAAATGGACTTGACTGTGCATTTTGTGGGCAAAATGAGGCAGCCAATTGCACACAGCGATGTCCCACAAATCACCGAAGAGTGAGTGACCAATTTGATTTGGGGGATTGTTGGCCAGGACATCTGGAGCAACTCCTTTCTCTTTTCGAATAGTGTCATGAGATCTTTAACATCCACCTGAACAGGCTGACCAGGACCTCAGTTTCACGTCCCATCCAAAGGATGGCACCTCCAGCGACGCTTCCCCAGCGCTACACTGGAGTGGCATCTTAACAATGCGATTCCGAGTCCCAACGTGGGATGCGAACCCCCAATCATCTGACTCAGAGGCGAGTGGTACCACTGAGTCAGGTTGACACATAGAGCCAGCCATCTTAAAATAAATATACAGTCATACGTGTATTTATCCTCCCGACATGAAAGGCAAATATACAAATATAATATATTGTTTTATATTATCAGTGCGGTGAAAATATTGTAAAAATGTTGGGAGTTGCGTGGATTTTACAGCAGGTCCACAGGTCATTCATTTGACCGACCAGTGAAGCAGTTGCCAGTGCACTGTCCAGGTACATATCAAACCGGTTCTGCTGGCAGGGCTGGGCATGGAAACGGCAGGGGAGGGTCAGGGGTCCCGTCACAACAAAACTGCACTTGTCCTCTCAAATCTTAAATGGCCTACTGCAGATTTCCAACATTGCGGTTGTTTTTAATATATATATATATATATATATATATATAAAGAGAGACCTGGTAAGTCTGGTCTTACAAATACTGGGTCTGGCCCTGACAGCAAACGGGGAGTTCACAGCCAACTATTCTGGCCCCAACGAGAGCAGCGGTTCCGCGCCGGAGAGAGAGCGAGAGGATGGGGAGAGGGAGAGGATGGGGAGAGGGAGAGGGAGGGAGAGGATGGGGAGAGGGAGAGGATGGGGAGAGGGAGAGGATGGGGAGAGGGAGGGAGAGGATGGGGAGAGGGAAACGATGGGGAGAGGAATTAAGCACGAAACCAGAAACCCAGAGGGCGGCCATCGGCGACGCTCGGGCCACCAGAGAAGGCGCTGCTGGCGTGAGAGCGGCGGGAGGGCGGGCGGGGAGCGAGGGAACGGCCTCGGCACTCGAGTCACCGCCGAGCGATGACCGCCTGACTGAGAGACTGACTGACTGACTGCCTGAACTACCTGAAGAAATAAACTCTGTGCCGACAGCTGCTCTGTGGGTGTGCGGGTGGAGAGGAGACTGACCTGCGGAAGGTGAGTGCGCGGAGCATGTCGCCGGCGAGACCCGTCTCCACTGACAACCCCGCCCCCGCCGCCCTCTGACCTCTGACCCCGCCCGCCCGCCCCACCCCTCACACACCACCACCACAGACAAACTCACAACTTCGTATTTGTGTTTTTTTTGCACAAAACAGAAAGGACGACTCAAACTGTCCCGATTGCGATTCATGTAAACCGTGAACCTCACCGCCTTCATCTCCATTTCTTTACCTCCCCCCCTCCCCCACCCCCCCCACCCCCTGCTGATGGTTTCGCCTTCCCGACCCTGTACCGAAAACAATCGGTGAAAACAGTAACACCATTAATTTTAAAAAAAAACAACAACAATAATGAAGCAGAAGCCAGAGTTCGCGCGTATGTTTTACAATTTCTGTTTTTAGGATCCGTATTATTAGTCAGTGAATATCATCCCCTCTGTGTCTGCCGCCTTTCTGCCTGTCTGGTTTCTTCCCACCCATCTGCTCTCTGCGAACCAATCACCCCATCCTTCCTCAGCTCCATCCCCCACCCCCCCACACACACACACACAGAGGATTCAGTTCAAGATCCTTGTCCTCACTTTTATATTCCTCCAGTCTTGCCCCGTGACACCTCTGCGACCTTCTTAAACACGACCAATCTGGCCGCTGAGTTTGCTCGGCAAACACTCGCTCGCTTGGCATCTTCTGCCCCGCCGGGGCCCTGCCAGGAGCGCTCAGGGTTTCAGCATTGCCGCCCCCCCCCCCCCACTCTCTCCAGAACTCCCCCATCACAGAATCCCCTCCTTCAACCCCAAGACACCTCGGCGACCTTTTTAAATCCTACCAACCCGCCTACACAATACAGTCAATTCCCTTTTACAGTATATACCGTATATTCACTTTATAGTGTATGATATAGCACCTTATCATGTTGTCGCAATGTCTCCGGGATACTATCCTGCACGAAGTGCACTATATTAAATGCAAGCATTAATATTAATATTATTATTAAGACCGTTCTTCTTTGACCGGACATTCGGTCATCGTCGCCCTCCACTCCCAAATCCAACCCCCGAGCTCGGGCCACCCACCCACCCACCCACCCTCGGGAGACCCTCCCGCTGCGAGCGGCACTATTTAAGTTACAGTTGTTGTTGTAGTTGTTGTTGCTGTGTGTACACGGGGGGGGGAGGGGGGAGGAGGAGGGGCGCGCGGCGTCGCGGTTGGATTTTGAAGTGCGTGCTTTATCCCAGCAAGCAGCGCGCGGCGCTCAGCGCATGGCGGCGGAGTGATCCCGAGAGCCGCGCTGCGTCTGGTGTGCGAGACCGAGACCAGCGGGAGAGCACCGCCCGCCCGCCCGCCCGGCCACCCACCGCGACCCGGAGAGGAGAGGAGCCGAGGCCGAGGCTCCTCCGGCGACGACCCGTTCCCAGATTAACCGGAGCCCACATCTGGGAGTGGGGCGGGAAGAATCCTATATATATATATATATATATATTTAGAAAGAAGGCACCCAGATCAGGTGAGCCGGGACCGCCGCCGCCATTTTGTGTTGGATTTTGATCCTCGAACAACAACGGGGCTGAGTCAGGGCCGAGAGAGAGAGAGAGAGAGAGAGGGGGGGGAAGCCTCTCGGAGCCGCTGACCCCGCGCCGGCCTCGCTGAAGCTTCGCACACGGGCCGACCGTCACGGTTCGTGTGCGCGGTCGGAAACGTTTTTTTTATATATATATATAAAATAATTAGTTCGAGCCGCGGCTTCCCGGAGCCTCTCCTTCCTCCTCCTCCTTCCTCCTCCTCCTCTCGACATCTAATGGCACTGAGCGGATAAAGAGGGCGGACACCTGACCAGGGTTTGGACCCGCGACCCCTTTTATTTTAAAGTCGGCGGCGTTTGTTTTTACGCTTTTTCGTAGTGTTTTCTTCCCTCTTCTCTCTGCTCTCTCTCTCTCTCTCTCTCGGGTGAGGACTGTAGCTGCGAGCCGGCGCGGGAATGTGACCGAGCGGCTTTGGCTTGTGTCTGCACTTGGGGTCGGGTAGGCCGAGCCCAGCGCGGAAAATTGGCACCTTCCCGAGGATGTCACTTTTTTTTTTAAAATCCAGGTCCGGGGATGACGAATGCAGCCCTGAATACCACACCGAGGAGGGATTTTTCTGTGCATTAGTAGTCACGGGTTCTGTTTCACGTGTGTTTACGAGCTGCGGTCTGCGTTATTTTGGGGCATGTCTCATTTATCTCTCGTGTGTGTCTGTCTGTGTCTGTCTGTGTGTGTGTGTGTGTGTGGTGGGGGGTGAAATGTAAATGCTGCGGTGGAATATAAACACACTTTCTAATTCCGCTGCGTGAATCCGTCTTTTATAAGCTCACGGATGTTACAGTAGTGCAGTAATATAGTTTCATGTACTTTTGCAATAAGTAGGTAATGGGTAGATAATTCCACCACTCAACACTTCAACTGGTCTTTTGCCATTTCTGACCAACGTGTGTGTTGCTTTATTCCAGTAATGTTCTTGACGCAAATTGCTTGCCTTGTAGAAATGTTCTTGTTTTCCTCGGTCATTGTGTGTGGGGGCTTTGTACACCTGTGGTGCAGAACTGCACAGCTTTCACTTTAGAATGGAGGAGTTGTATGACTGCCTTTTAAAGGATGGCAAACAGCGACATGAAAGTTTGATGAAAGACAGTTTTGTTAAGATGCAAATAAGGCACAAATAAGACCAGGATGAAAAAGGAGATGAAAGAATATAGGGCATTGGGGTTCTGAATTAATGTGAGAAGGATGATTGCCACAACTAAATATTCAATGATATTGCCATATCTTCAATCTATGGTTCTTTTAATTTGAATGGATTTATAAATCTGCTACAATAAACTATTACGAACAAATGTAATTACACGTTTAACTCAAACCTCACACTCTTGTTACTGTTGTCCTGCAAGTTGATGTATTAGATCACCCAGCGATTGATCTGAAGTGATTATATTATCCTTAGGAAAAAGCTATTAAAGTTAGGAAAGCTAGTATATTAATGGTCCATAATCTACAGAATCTTAAATGCATTGATTCTGTTAATGTATGCATTATATTTGTCATTGTTAATTTTTTTTAAAAAGGTGGACATTCATATTTTGTTTGTTTTCCAAATAAGTAAAATGTTAAGTGAGTTTCTGAATGATATATACCTGGAAGGCCTAGATCTTTATTGAGTTTAGTTATCTCAACCTGGGCATTACAATTGGCCTCAGCAACATGGACTATGGAAGAGAAAAATCAACCAGGGTTCCAGCTACTAATTGCAATCCAGCAATCCCTGGACTGAACATGCATGATTGCCTTGGGCTTGGCTGTGATTTCCCTGATGAATAGGTCACTGTCTCTTGCATAAATTATAGTTAGCTGGGCAATGTCCTAGAAAGTGCCCATATGCCAACTTAATTACAATTTTACATTACAGTAACAAGAAAAGAGAATCAGACATTGGGAGGGATGGATGTACCATTTTGGGATGTTGGTTGTTGGTGAGGAGAAAAAAAGATGCTTGGATGGTGAAGCATACGATCAACCTAATTTTTGACAGCTACTTTTATATGCTTTCTAGTTGATAGTTCAGCATGGCATCAATTGGAAATCCTACCAGGTTGTTCGCTCTCGGGCATAATGACACAAAACCCTAAGCAATTGAAAACGAGGAAAGGGGAAATACTTATATTAAAAAACTAAATGATACATGATTACACATTTTAGCACATTGATACGTCTAAGGTTAAAGCTGAAATTTACTTTATCTGCAGAAATGGTAACTCAATAAACTAAAATTGAGTTTAACATTTTATAATTTTTATTCTCAGCAGTGATTGCATTGGAATTGTTGCAATTTCTGTTTCAGACTTACTCTAATACAAAACCGTAAGGATTACAGCAGCCAAACACTTGTGTTAAGGTGAAATATTTTATGCATTCCTATTTTACATGGTATGTTCAGTCTTATAAATTTAGAATCTCATTAATAGTACAATATCTGATTTTATCCCACCAAATGAGATTCTCTAAACCTTACTATGCCAGTTTGTTTGATATTCTATATTAAACCTAAATTTAGTTATTTCCAGATCTTTATCTCGTTTTCATTGCAGTTATTTAGTTTCTGCCTGCCTCGATTCGTGTAGATGAGATGCAACTCCCTTCCCCATCCCCTCTCAATATTGTAATGAAATGTGAAGTTTCCTTGTGTTATATTTCATTTACATTCAAATTCACATCATTTTGTCACAAGTTGTGTTTATATAGTGCCCTTCGAGTAGCATAGCATCTCAGCTCTGTACTGTGGTCGGGTTGAATGCTAAGCAAGCAACAAGGGGAGGTGACCGTATGCACGGTCAAAAAGGTAGATTTTCGTGTGGGATTTCAGACAGTTAAGGAGGCAAAGCAGAAATATAAGGCAGGAAGTTCCAGGAGTTAGTGCAGTAGTGACTGAATGCACTAACAGTAATGGTGGTGTAGAGGTTTTGGGGGATGCGCAGGAGGCTTGTGTTAGCTGTGTGAAAGGGATGGACAGAAGAGCGGAGAATGAGTTTTCAAGTTGCCTGAATCTGAACCTGCCCTCCAAATATTCTACTTAGAATGGGCTTTATTCAATAAGTAATTACATTATGTTGGTGTCATTCATTATTACTAACTGCAAGTTGTGCATCAGAGATGGCATATTTTTGACCACAATTTTACCTAATCTTAATGTGAAAATTTTATTAGCACTTTCAATTATGTAGAAGTGTTCCACACTTACCTGCAATCAAGGATATATTGTGCAGAGCTCGGGAAACGATGGGGTGGGAGTTAAGCAACAATGGGCCTTCAGAATTCATCCATAGTTTGCCAAATGTGTTTATACAAAGAAGATTGTTTCCCAAACTTAAATTGTACTATGGTTGTCTGGAGCTTTCCTAATGGAGTAGTGGATAAATGCTCTGAGTGTAGTAAAAGGGAGGTTATCTTGATTAAAATCCAGTAACCCTAGTAAAAATGTGCAGTGTATTTTTATGGCCCCATGGTTGAATAGCATACTGCTGCTCACTTTCCATGATGGAAAATGAAATGCCTGGAAGCTGTCATTTGCAAGCGAGATGTATTTATTGTTTATTGTTGCTGGCACTACCGACCATGGGACCATATTCTCTGGCATGAATTATTGATTTTGGGAGGATATGTAATGTATGAAATTTTCACTTTCTGATTTCATTGGTGGACAAAAATGGAGATAAATAAATTGTAGGCAAATTAAAGTACAGTCACTACACTGCAGTAAATCCTGTGAACTGCTTTCAGATGTTTCATTGACATAAGGCACTGTTTCAAATGCAAGGAATATTTTATAACCAAATTGATTTACATAATATGGAAGAATGTATCTATAATTTGAATATAATCTGTAAAGCTAGTTCAATGCTGCTGTTGTACCATGGATTAAACAGTTGCACAGGATGAAATCATTATGAATCTGTTAAATCAAATATTTATTTGGAGATTGGCTATTAGGAACAATGTTCCAGACAACAATTTGTCTATCAAAAGAACATCTTCAGGAAAAAATGTCAGGCAAATCTTTCTTTGCTCATAAACTGTATTTTATCACAAAATGACCAATTGTATCTGGGGGATTATTGAACAGGACAGCAGGAGAACTCAGCAGGGAAAACTACTTTCTTTTTTTGAATAGTGTCATGGGATCTTTAATTTCCATCTACAATGTGTCTAAATGAATAGTGAATTGTCAGTTGACTTGAGGTGGCTAAAGTGCTGAACCAATTGAACTTTTCTGTTGGCTCACAGGAAACCTCTTGTTCCACTTGTGGAAGCTAATTCATTGTGGTTAGTGAGTGAAAAATGCTTGGCAGTTGTCTTTGTGCAATTTCAACCAGGAAGTAGCTGATTTATTTAAGCGCTAGAAAATGGTGATCGATGCATGTATTGCTTTTGTTTGCCAAAGTTTAAAATTAGTGAGCATGAGTGGCGTGAGGATAATGACTGGAACTAAAACAATATTTTATTAAATAGAAAATTAATGGAGTAATCAAAACTGGACATCACTTTAAATGACATATTAATAACTAGTAGATGTTGCACTGTTTAAAGCTATTGAAATCATAGCTGCTGATTGCATTAATTTATATAAGATGAAAAAATTTGAAGGGATTTTTTATTTTGCATGCTTTCATAAACTTGTAGAGCTTGATTCTCTTTTGGCCCTTTTAGTGGAAAAAGGAATGTAATTAATATGTTAATTGTGAGAAACTGATCCATAACAGTGTAGATTATTGTGTTAACTGACAACTCTTTTGTATTTCAGCAATCAGGATGACTAACGAAGAACCTCTCCCAAAGAAGGTAAGAGCAGACAAAACAATAAAATGGATATTTATTTTGTTAATTTTGATGTTGTCACTAACTTGTATCCAACTTTATTTTTACAAAAGGTTCGCTTAAATGAATCTGACTTCAAGACCCTGACCAGAGAAGAATTATGTTCCAGGTAGTACTCTGCTGAAGCAAACTATTAAATCATGACTGTTTATTCAATTTTTAATGAAAATGCATTCAGTTATACTAAAATGTAGGAAAATCCAGTATTGTACATTTTTTGCTGGGGTTTTTGGCAATCATAATCAAAATAATGTTTGGCCCCAAACAAGTTATGTTTCCTATTGTTGCTGTACTTAATGTTGGTTTATTCCCTTCAACTCAGAGGTACTCAGAGTTGTTATATTTTTTAAAACTGTTGCTGCTGATCATGCCACACCATATTCTTTACTTTTCTTCCATAATACTCATCTTTGAAAGCTCAATAATGAATCGTTGATCCATCAGCATTGTGATATTCACATTACTATGTGTTAAAGCTGCCTGCAAGTAGCTTGGTTTCATTATTTGAGCCAATTGCACTTCCCCTCTAATGTTCCACTCTTAATCCCAAACCAAGTATTCTTACTTCAGTACAGTTCTCAAGAATGGGTGCACACTTTATTTTCTGATGGGCAACTTCTCTTTCATCTCTAGCTTTCTACCTTTCTGTCACTTTTTTAGATTTTTCAATCTAAAATTACTATATAACTATTGAACTTTCCAGTCTTGGCCCTCCAGGGATTTGAATACATCCCACATAGCATCCCTATGTACCAAACTTAAAAGCACTCCTTACTACAACTGTGCTAATTATGTGCAATTTTTGTAATGGATTTGTGCCCACTAGGAACTAAGTTTGAGGGAGATAAATTTCATTAATTCCTAAGCAGAATTGAGCACGGGTCTAAAAGTCATAGCCACTTTGCCATTGGTTTCCACTATTTCTTGTTTAAAAAATCTTTTTAGATTTATATTTTCATTTATTATGTAGACAATACTATTAAATTGTAGACAGCTTAACTTTCCACATCTTTTTGTTATACTTTTTGACCAGCAAATCTAACTTTTGTAGTTTGTGCTTTCTAATTGTGTGGTAGGTTCTAGGTACTGTCATATTTGTCTTTTCAACTGTCTAAATTACATTGCTATAGGCTTAACATTTTATTTTGTCTTCCTCTTAAGGTGGAAACAACAAGAAGTCTATGTGCATGCACTAGAGACCAAGTACACAGAACTTGGCTGTAAGTTTTTTGTTTTAATTTACTGGTAGATTTTTAGTCATCTTCTTACTTGACTAATTACAAAAGGCTTTTTAAAAGTTTTGTACAAAATGACTAATAATACTTGGAATATGCTCCATGTGAATTGCATTATTGATCACAGTAAACCTGCTCTTTGGTTTATTCCATTTACATTTTACTTACGAGCTATAACTGATCATGGCATGGTTAAGTGTAAATCTGCAGCCCCACAAAGATCTCTCTGAATCTCATTATTCAAGATTTTCCACAAAAAGTGTTCTTATATGAAACTCATTAAATAATTTTTAAATCAGCTAAAGGAAACAGCATTAGAGTCGAGACATATTTGTAGAATTGTATCACGTTGTTAACATTTGATCTTAGAAGTGTTATGTAGCCTTCATGTTTCAAATTCAAGGAAGGGAAAAAAGTCTTGGTGTGTAGTTGACTTTTGGTCATATCTTTTTAAAAGAATACGACTGTGCTATACAGGCGAACCTCATTATAATACAGCTCTTTTAGTCCAAAGCTCAGGGACCATGTTTATAAACGAGGTTTGAATTAATAGCTGACTCTGGGTCACTGATATATCTTCCTGCATGCTATGCCCAAGAAGTGCTGCTGACGTTGCATTCGTCGTGAAGTGTTAGCAGTGACCTGAAAACTTGGGAGTTGGCCTTTTCAGGACAGGAGGCCAGTTTATCAGTGCTAAAGGCGAGTGTAGTGCTTGGCTAGCTCAAATCTACACATCTATTTCTATAAGCAAGACACACTATAATGGGGTTCCTCTATATTTCCAATTAATTAAGTTAGATTTGGTTTCTCCCTCTTCCTTAGCTTTGGTAAAGAAAGCAAGTTTACTTTATTGCTGGTGGAAATTGTCACACAATATTAGTATTCTAAAATGTCAAAATTTGTGTGTCAACTACTAATCTAAGATGAAGTGGTTATGGATCCATTTTTGGTCATGCACAATAATATGACTCCTCTGGAGTTGAAGCTCCATAATCTGTATTTATGATAACCTGGATTTGTTTGGTTTCCACCCAGAAAGAGTTCACAGGACAGATATAATAGGCTTAATGTTTAATTGTACCCAAGAACCAGTAAAATAGTTTTTTTATGAACAGAATAATAAAATTGCCCTTTTCTGGTCTTGTTAAAAGTGAAATTCCAGGGTTCGAGGAGACACCATTCATTCACAGAGCACTAGCAACAAACACAAATCTATTTTTCATTGAGAAATGTATGCGTATATAGTATGTTGATATTCTTAGAACCAGTTATGCAATGTGTACAATGCATCCCTGCAATGTGAAATTGGCCCCAATAAACTACAAAACATAAAATCTGCACGTTTAGTCCATTTGTAGAAGCATGATAATAGAAGACCATGGCACAAAATGAGTCTTGCCTGTGATTATTACATGTATGTTTGCATTTTCATTTTACTATAGCAAATGATGTGAGTGGGCTGAGAGAGTCTGAAGAAAAGCTGAAGCAACAACAACACGAGTCTGCTAGAAGGGAGAACATCCTAGTTATGAGACTAGCCACCAAGGAGCAGGAAATGCAGGAGTGCACTGTGAGTATCCATTTTCTGTGATAGGTGTGTATTTATATAAATGTTTTTTTTGTATTCAAAATCTGATGATGAAATTGGAATTTTGAGGATTTGGAGAATCATTTTAAACAATAAATTGCATTTATATAGTGCCTTTCAGAGGACATCTATAGTGGCTATAGCTGAACATTTTTTATTTTTGCACAATAGCAAAAAAGATTCCCAAATCTATCATCTACAACTCAGTTTTATTGCTTGAAATCACACTGCATTTTGTCATTTAAAAGCCTTTTGTTACAGCTGATGTTATTTGGAAAGAATTCTGGATGATTGGAAAAAGAAAAGCCTGGACAAATTTTGAAGTTTTTTTTATTGTAATGGTTTAGTTCAAATACTTTGAAATTTGCCATGAATTTATTTAGATTTTCATATGTACAATTATTTATTCTTCAATTTAAAAAAAAGTTGGAGGGAGAATTACAGAAATTTTAAAAGAGCGGGTTGAATTCACAAAACTAGGGGTGAACTTTGCCCCCAAACTCTTACCAAAGATCACTAGAATATTACATGTAGAGAGTAAAGTAACTTGTGTGCTTCGACCCTTTTAATACGCCGTGTAGCTACAGAGATAACTGGAATGTTTAAGCCTCACAGCTTTGAGCTTTGTAGTTAACGGATAACTGGAATATTTATTCCCCACACCTATTAAATGTTCAAATATTTGTTCCTAGTTTTTAATTGACCATTTAATTCCAGAATAATTTATTGATTCCTCTAACTTTGTCAGTTGGGGTCACACAAGCCTTTGGTTCTATTTGTGATCTTATTTAACATATTCTCAGCTGTTTCTGCCATCTCTGAAGTGAAAGACAAAGGGAGCAGGAAACTTAAAAGGAAGAAAAACAGAAAAAAAAATCAAATAGTGAAAGGTGAGATGAAGAAGATGATGGCAGAAATTCTGAAGAGGCAAAAAGTTGAATTAAAAGTCTGAGGTGTAATATAGAATCACATTAAAAATTTAATTATAATAAAAAATGAACACTTAATTTCTAATATTAACTTACTTCAGAGTATACCAGAAGGTATTTCTAGAAAAAAATTCTAGTACATAATTTTGAAACTCCCAGCTTATTTTTTTTCCCCCCACGTGCTTGCATTTAAACTCACTTTTGTACAACATTCAAATCAATGTCAACAGCTGAATACCTAATAGCCAAAATGTTTTGCTAGGCTTTCAATAAATTTCCCCCTCCCCAAGCTTAATGCTCGTTTAATTAAAATCTAGTTACACTCTTAAAAGCTTTGAATTAAAGGTCACTTATTTGTAATTATGTATCTTCTATAAAATTACACTACATACTTCAGGATGAAATACTTTTTCGGGGAGCACACATGCAGTCTCAGTTCCCCTTCAGAGTCTTCTTTTTGCTTCAGTTATACACCTGTGGGGAACGTAACTGCACAAGTCTGTGGTAGATGATGCATTTTGCTATGAATTTTTTTTTGCATGTTGATAGGACTACAGAAGGGAGTTGTGAAAATGCTACATTTGAGTCAAATTCTAGTTATTTTGTTTTTGCAGGCTTCATTACTAAGCATATTGAGCCTGTGAAATCAATCAAATTTGGGGTCTTGTGTTTACTTAATTTATGCAGACACTGAAGAAATACAAATGGGATCACTGCAGGAATAACCAGGATTAGTAATTGAAGTGACCTGTTTTTATTTGCTCTTCCTGTCAATGACAAATGATGAGCAGGAATAGTTTTGATTTTCATGATTTCAATGGAAATTAAATCTTTCATAATTTCTGCAGAATTTCTTACTTGACCTGCATTAGCAAAATTCTAGTTATTTTGTTTTTGCAATGCTTAACCTGGTGGAACAAAGCAGAACATTTACACCTTGCCTTAGATACTACAAGTACAAAATCAGTGAGGTTATTCACCTGTTATGTGAAAGTTTAGCATCCCTTGGCAGAATATAATTGAATTTTCCAAAGGTTGGTAAAATTGTTAACAGGAAAATAACCCCTCGATTTTTGGAACTAAGGTTTTTGAGACTTCAGGGGAATACATGGTTGAGAGTTTTGCCAGCTAAGTGCTTTTCACACATGCTCATTGCTGTAATAATAAAATAAACTGCCTATCTTATGAGCCAAGTTCCAGCCATATATATATTAATTTCCCTAACAAATTATTTTTATTGGCTCCCATAGGAGAAACCAAATACTGTTCAGTGACGCGGGAGTACAAATAATAAATATTCACTCCTTGTGCACAAGGTACTGAGATTGAAACTATTAAATTCTTTGATGCATGTATGAGCAAAATTAATGTGAATGCTGGTCCTCAAGTTCCATTCCATAGCCATTGCATAGAGAAGTATGATATTGTGTTTGTAACCAGTATGATTTCAAATTGACTATCTAAAGGGTAACGCTTCTACATTTCTCCCAATCCTGCATGATGTTTCAGTCTTGTCATGATATGGTTTCATGGTCAACAGCAGGCATTGCTCAAATGGACAGACTGGCGATGTGAGCCTAGACTGGCTACTCAACGAAAGAAGGAAGAAATCACAGCCAAGTTGGAATCTATCCTCACCTGACATCCACATGAGAGCGTTCTAATAATAGGCTAAAGTAGTGGGAACACTAGCTGATTTCTTACACTGATGTACACACACAAGTAAGTGAAGCCTGGAGCACTGAAACTGGTTATAAATAATGCTATCCTGGCTGAGATCAGCTTGTTGACCATGAACTTATAGGAACTGTGGAGGTGGCTATTCAGTGGATTGAAAAAAAATTAAAACAAGACTAGCAGATATTTTAATTAAGGATCTTGGGAAATTTTAGTGCCTTCCTCTTTAGCCATATCCTTTAGCCATATAAAACTTCTGCTACTATGTGTCTGTCGACTTATTGATTCTGCCTTTGCTGCAGAAAGGATTGGTTTCAAAATTCACACCCTTGCATACAAATCTCTCCCTTTCTCTGGTCTGCTCATTCCCCATTCCTCTTCCTGATGCAGTTAGCAGGCCTGCTTCATGACCCCTCCCCAGCACACTTGGTGGCCGTCCCTTCAGCCAATATGCTCCTAACCTTTGGAACTCCCTTTCTCAATTTCCTCCACTTTGCCCCACCTCCTTTATCTTTAAATCCCTATACCTATTGGGCTTGGTCTATGATTAAGCTCCCCATTCTCTTGCTTGGCATCCAACCCCACCATTGAGCATTGCACATCTTCACAACCATCTGTAAAATCATCCTGACCTTAGTTCTAACTGCCTTATTTTTGATTTTGAAGGTTTGTATCTCCTTTATAGTGTGTCTACCAGAGAGGAGTCATCAATACCTTTCATGATTTTAAATACCTCAATCAAATAAATCACACATTAATCTCTGGTCCACTCTATCTAGCCACTCATTATAGTTAAACCCTATGAACTATTTATTAATCTTGTGGAATCATTGCTGCAATCTGGAGAACCAGAGTTGGAAAATAAAATTATTTTCAAGTTTAGGTATAGTCCCAAGTGGAATTTCACCTCATAGACTTGCAACTTACACAGCAACTCCAATAGATCCTGGAGTTGGAATCTAGGGTTGGAGGAATAGTGGGGGTGGGAGTGTGGCTGAAGGCATGGTCAAAGAGCAAGGTCTTGAGACGGGGCTTGAAAGAGGGAAGGGAGGAGGTGACTGGTAGGCATTTGGGGATGGATTTCTAGAGGGCAGAAAAGCTGCAGGCCCGACCGCCAATGGTGGGGCATACATGGAGTAAACCATTGCCTGCTGAACCGATGGAATGGGCAGGTTGATATGGTGTTAAGAGGTAGAGAGGAGCATGACCATGGAGGGTTTTAAAGTGAGACTGAAAATTTTAAACTAGGGATGGGGAGCCGGGCGAGGATGGGCGTGATCGGTTCATGGAGCTTGGTACAGGAGAGGAGGCGAGCTGCGGGGTTCTGGATAATGTGCATCTTGCAGAGGAAAGAGCTGGGGAGTCCGGCGAGGCAGGGAAACTCCCTAGCTCTTTCCTCCGCAAGATTTTCAATCTTTATAAATTGTATAATCGCCTCAGTCATACATTCATCTGAGTCGCATTCAAAAAGATTTAGATTTAGATTTTTTTGTACTAGTATTAATCACTTCCTAACTTGTAACGCTTCTCCCTTACTCTCCATTACTCCCACATGTAGCAGCTATCATAGAAAATTATGACCTGAACCGCCCAGCAGTGGGTACTTACAGGCCAAATGCATTGAATCGTGAGAACAGTAGTCATGATCTGTGGATGTATGCACAGAAGAATTTAATTTCCCATGACTCAATATGATTCCCATGCTTGCCGGTAAGTGCGTTTGTGGCGACAGGTCAAGATGCATTGAAATGCTGAAATGTAGTCTTGACCTGTCACTGCATATGCACTTACTGGCTGCATTAAATTACGCATGCCCAATGCAAATTATTCATTAAATTAATCTTTCTACAACTTTATACAGTCTGGTTGCAACTTGGACTTCACATACGATGTATTAAATGTTATGGGGCTGACTTGTTGACTTATGTAAGTTTTACTGTACTATTTTTATGCCCTTTTAAGTCCTTTTTTAATCCTTTCCTGACTGGGAGACATCAGTCATAGCCACTATTGAGTCAGCTACCAGGAAAGAATTGGACGAGCTCATTTGTCCTTTATTGAAGTCTTTGGATTCACTTAAAGGCTTTTCTGGAATTTTGATTATTCCTTGTGAACAATTGTCTGAACTAATATTCCACTGTTCTGTGACACTGAATGTTGAATTGATCTGTACTACTGCAATATGTTTTGATATTAAAAATCATAGGCTCCTCTGACTGAGTTTCTTCAATGAGTAGCTGTATTCATACCGAATGGGATGGTCGCAGGTTGGATCCCCAATATTCTGAGTTACCAACTTTCAAATGGAGCAGCAGGAGGGTTGTCCCTGCCAAACCGTGCAGAGAAATGATGACCTTTTGGGAGGGTTGCATGTTGGATTTTACCCTCAAGAAGAGAGCTGTATTTTTTAAAAATAAGGAAGGTTTATCATTGATCAAGCATTCCAGGATAAAGTTAACCATCAGCACAATAGCATTTAGCTACAGGTTCACGTTATAAACAGATTACATGTTTTTGTCCTTGATAGTGAAAGTTGGGTAGTTGAATTGTGAAAATAAAGCGGCTAGTTTCATTAGTTGTTTGGTTTCCTGTATGAAGTTTCAGGCTTAAAGTTCAGTCTTGACTGACTGGTTATGTTTGTGGACTGCATTGCAGTAGTGCATAGGAAGAAAAGGTTGAAAGGAAATGCTTTCAAGGTGTGTGTCAACCTTACTACTGTTTTAATCATAAATGGGTCTGGTTTTGCCCATCAGAACCTCTGCCTGGAAGAAGGAAAAAAGATATTCTGTTACTAATAAAATTACTGTTGCAGGGTGTCTGCAGTAAGAGATCATTCTGGTCAGGAGACAAAGATCAACATCCAGTTTACCATAAAACTGCATCTTTGTGGCTCAGCTGAAAAGTGATACCAGGAAAGAAGTTGGAAGTCCATTTTTAAGGACCAATCTAGTCAGTCCCATTTACCTGACTTTTTCCTGTATGCCCATAGTTTACTTTTAGATATCCATCTGGTTCCTTTTTGAAAGCTAATATGGATTCTGCCTCAACCATGGACATTCCATTATATATTCAGTGGATCCCCATGCCAAGTAAATGTTCTGTGACATGCTGCAATCGTTTGAATTTTTGTTACTTTAAGTTATCTAGTGGTGTTCATATTGTAACTCACAGTATTTTCAAAAGAGAAGTCGGTAGAGATCAAGACTATTGAAATTGGTAAAACTTCATGGTGGTTGAATTGGGAGAACTGCTACAATCTATCTTGAAATGAGCTGAGACACTAAAAGAGGATGTAATAAAGATGTCTGCCAAATGAAAATGAATGAACAAAAGTGGAATTGATTTTAGTTTCCAACTGGGATAGCATAAAATCACAGAGGATCTACCAAAATGATGTACCATTGGTGTTACAATAGGCATTTAATTTGACAAATGAGAAGTAAAAGCAAAAGTGACTAGATTGACTACTATGAACCGTTTCAGATCAACAGACCATCACTACTTTGTGTTTTCTCTACTACTTTGTCTGAAATCCTAATTCGTAAGCCAGTAAAAAAAAGTTATGATTTAGAACATTCAAAATGCTTTCAAATAGTCTATAAAAATTGGTGTGAAATAAACTGGATATAAAGGTTGTTTGAGTTTCAATGCCTTGTGTTAAATCATCTACTCCTAACAATGTCTCAGTAAAGAATATCTCATTTTAAAAATCAAACCAACAGGAGCTTTTGGAGGCACTCGACTACTTCGGCCTTTCAGTCTGGCATATCCTTACCTCGAGCAATGTTTGTAATTGCAAATGTGATCAGTGCAGTCAGAGTAATGATATAACTTTTTCAAAAATAAAAAAAAAAGGTCAGGGATTACTTGTTCAGCGCTGAAAGGCACTATGCAAGTGTAATTTTGTTGGTCCGAATTTTAATCTTTCAATATTTTCTTAACAAAAAAAAGGACCGTCTGAACATTAAGTGTGAAATGGATCGATTAGCAGTTCAATGCCAAACTTGCAGTAATGCAGCTAGTTCCTTTATGAAGCAAATTTAGCAGATTTAGCAAGTGTATCAGCCTGTTTCCATTGGTAGCACTCTTGCCTCTGAGTCAAGGTTCTGGGTTCAAGCCCACATTGTGTGCATATTTGCTGTTGCATTCACCTACAAAACAGTCACTACACATTACAGTATATCCTGTGAAGTTTTGAGACGTCTTTCTGACATAAAAGGCACTATACGAAATTTAAGGATTATTATTTTAAATGCAGAGATATAACTTCACAAAAAATGATGTCTGCCATACAAATCTGAAGTACTTGCAGCATCAAAATGTATTATTTCAAACAAACTTGCATTCTACTTGGAGTCTAATTAGCCTGCTATATAATATAAATTTGATATTCCAGCATAAGCAAATTGAAAATACAGTAAACGCCTGATGACCCTACCACTTAAGTCATCATGCTGTCAAATGCCCGACTACATTTATTTATGTATTATACATATGCCTAACTCGCTACTCTGGATAACTAGTCACTGAACCCTTTTCCTTTGGAATGATGAGTTATCAGTTTACTGTGTCTCAGCACAGCTATATCAACTCTTTCAGCACATGTTCCACGACTTGAAGAATAATGGCCACCCTATTTGAAATAGCAAATGTGAGTTTTCAAGTACTGTAAATGGCACATTCAAATATAATAACTAATGTCTGCTATTTTTCCTGTTGTAGCGAGCTTGTCAATCGTTGAATTTTATGACTAATAATAATCTTTGCATTTGATATGGTGCCTTATCACTTCTTCAAGACGTCTCAAAGCACTTTACAGAATATACTGTCACGTGAATTGACTGGTTTTTGGATTAACTACAGTTAAGCTAAAATATAATTAATCACCTAACGATGTGTTTTTGTTAGTATAACAAATGTTTGAGTAAATGACTAATTCTGTGTAGTTTCCCATAACTGGTGGTCAAGGCTCTTGGCTGTGCAATTATAGCAACAGAAACTTCAGTAGAAAATGTTCAACACCTCAATCGCAACATCTATCTTTTAAATAATCCTAAGGATTATGTTCAGCCTTGCAGTGTAGCTGTTTATAAACAAGGAAATATGTTTGCATAATGTACAGTCAAAAAACTCCAATTGTCCAGCATCACTAAAATCCTGCATTGTGTTCCTCTTTTTCGCACTGTGCTCACTGTCTTCAAAAGACTTGGTGAACTTCACAGTTCTTGGAATACACACTTTTAAAAATAAGTTTTTAGTTGTTTAAACAATTTAAACTTCAAGCTTGACATACAGTATCTTGATTGTGTTACTGTATTATAATCTATTTCATCTAAATGTTCAAGACGCAAATAATTGAGTTGCAATAAATGTTCCAATGTAATCAAACATTTATGGCTCCCATATGGTGCTGTGGTAATTGTAGCATGTGGCGTCTGTAATGAAAACAGATAAGGGCCCTGATGGAAAGCAAGTGTGCATATATTTGAGTAAAAGATCAGTCTTGTCTGTGGTGCTAACACTGGTTATCTGGGCTAACACTTGATAATGGCTATCTTGGTGTAATGCAGGGTTCCTTGTGCCAGTAGAGTTCAATTCAAGAAAGAAAGAAAACAGAGGGAAATAGGTTTGTTCATAGCATTGAGTAATTCTAATGCATGTAAAATATTGAACTAAAGTGCAGTGTTTGTTTGTAGCTTGTGTACAATAAACTATGGCTGTTCTGGTAACTGTATACCTTCTTCTTACAGAACCAGATCCAGTATCTCAAGCAAGTTCAACTGCCCAGTGCTGCTCAACTTCGATCCACCTTGGTTGATCCTGCCATTAACTTGTTTTTCCTTAAAATGAAGACTGAACTGGAACAGACTAAAGACAAACTGGAACAAGCCCAAAATGAACTGAGTGCCTGGAAGTTTACACCTGATAGGTAAACAAACAAAATACTCCCCAGTCAAGACCTCCCTGACAGTCCCACTGCAAGAATGCAATGGTGGGATGGCCAAGTACTCTTGTCAGACCAAGACAGCCTCAGCCTTTGAGCAAAAAATCCAGATTCTTTTACTGCTCAGCTTGCTATGCTTAATGTAAAACGTTGTCAGATGAACATTCTGTTTCAGCTTTTCCCCCCTTCTGCTTCAGAGGCCTGAAGGAGTCGGACTGTTCCGAAGAGATGTGGCCTGCATCCAACTAAAAAAAAAAAAAAAATTCTTCCCCCTCCTAGAACGTTTAGACACTGTTGAAATTTCTTTTTATAGAAGAAAATAAAGGGAGGAAAAGAAGGTCACTTCTCTACAAGAGTGTAAGGTCCGCTGCACACTCTTCTGGTGGCTGTGTTTGCAGACTGAGTTTCGAGGAGAGAACGTAGCTTTTCTCATCTCAGACGCTGTTGAGCCTGTACGTGTAAATTCGTTAAGTAGTGGAATGCCCTGCACTCCAAACATTGCGCTAGTGACTAATAGACACTGGAAGTCAATTTGGTATAAGACTGAAGACTTCCTGCTTGTTCACGGTGAACTGTCAAGAGTTGAAAAAACATTGAAGTGACTTTAGAGCACAGTCAAAGGTTTCACAATTTTTTTTTGAACTGGCCACCAACTCTGCGTAGAGTTGCATTTGAAAGCCATATTTGAGTATTCTACAGCAACCTTCCCTCTGGTGAATATTGTTTTTTTAACTTCATTAATTTGAACCAACTTGTACATACCAAACCATGAGCAGTGTAAAGTGGGTAACTTGAAATGCAGCATTTTGTTGGTGAAATTTAAACCCATTTCACTGACTTACTACTAGAGGGAATGTTGGCCTATTACAATGTGACACTTTTGTACTGGGGTTTGGGGCTTTGAAGTGTTGCAATCAGTGACTGTCTGGAAGAAATCTATGCAATCTAAGCACTCAGGTGTATTGAAGTTTACAGAATTTTCATTCTAGGACTGGCAGACATTTTTCTTAGATTATTGTACATCTGAAGGTTTGCATCAGATTCAATTTGGGAAGGTTTCATTTTTCTGTTTAAAACATCTTTGTTGATGAATGAGGAAATGTTTAAATACATGTGTGCTTGACAAAGATGTCAATGTGCATGCCCAGGTACCAGACTACTTGGGTAAATGACTTTCGAAACGTGGGTTTCAAATGTGAATTGTCCAATATGTACTGCGATATATCAAACTATTTCCAGTAATTAATGTTATCGATATAGCAAATATCGATCTGAAAATTTTGATTTCTGGTATTTCCCTCTACAGCCATATATAAAAGAGAACTTTTCAGGTATATTAATTTTCCTTTTCAACACCCTGAAATATTACATTATGTGCTGAATATGTTTGCTTTCATTGGCAGCTGCACCTTGTAAAATTACCTATGAATTTGACACAAGTAATGCTGTAGAATTAGTCTCTATTTCAAACAATGATGCACCTCACATCAAAATGCAATTCTTTTGTTCTTTCTCTGTGGTGAGCGTGTTAAATTAGGATTGTCATAGCTTCTGTTCCTTTAGTATCTCAAGGGTTGAGTGACCATAGCACTCCACTCTCCCTGTTCATAACAAGCAATGTCTAGTGCCCTAAGCCATATTTGGAACTCCAATTCAAAAAANTCCTTTTATCTTCTCAAATTATTTTGTTTCTAAAACAAAATGTTAAGACTTTTTAAAAGCTATGTGGAGCTACAGGAGGAGGGATGTAATGCTGACTGCATGAGCACTTTCAGATCTATAAAGCTTGACATCTTGTGACATAAATGGGATGGAAAAACATGAACTATATGCATTTATAAATCCAAATTGTTGCATTTGGAATTGCTTGTTATATATGGTAACACTGATAGCTAAAATTGCACCTTTTAAGTGAACCAGTAAAATTGCTTACAAAGCTTTTTCAAGTTGCACCCGTTAAAATATAAATCTATTTACACATGATGTATAGGTTCATGCATCTTACTGTTTTTTAGGTATATTCATTACAAGAATAACCTAATGCAACTTGCTGGTGACACTATAAACAAATCATCCCTGATCCGTTCAATGGGTTCCACTCAGGTTTTTTTTTGTTATAATCATATTTTACAGTATCATTTAATGTACCATGTGTAAATGGCTTGTCCCACTGCAAAATAATTCAGAAGAAATTGTACTTCTTTTAATTCAGAAAGCATTTCCATTGGTAAAATGTTTTAATAATTCATCCAAATAATTGCTGATTTATGCGTTATGCTTTCAAGTAGAATTGAAGTTCAGTCACAAAGGACATTTTCAAAAATGTTACATTTAATCCACAATTCTAAGTGTTACATTTAATCCACAATTCCTGCTTAACAAATTACCTTTTTTTCTAAAGGTTTTTAATATGTTTAGGGGTAAAAAGCACTTGCTTGTTTTTTAAAAAACCAAAATATTTTTTGTTTACCTTCAACCCCCGATTTTGAAATGGTTTGTCTTGATTGTTAAAAACATGCCTATGGTGTGGTCCCATCTAGGTCATGCAGGGGGTAACGTTTTCAAAAAAAAGTGTTCAGCATTGTGTCCCATGTGTGCAGCTTTTTTGATATTTTTAAAAAATGATTGACTTGTGTTTTAAGTCCCAGTCTGGCTGTGTCCTATAAAATATGCACTATGTATGATTTTTTGGATGTTTACTTCATACATATCAACTGTTAATGGTGCATACCATTTCTAAGTATTCAGGAGACGACATGACAGATGGTGACCTGAGATCAACTTCAATCTACAACTCTTAAATCCTTTTCAACTGAAGTATGATGTCAAAGAAAGGAGTATTGTACACTAGTTAAAATATTGACAGGGGATGTATTGGACAAATGAACCTCAACAATCAACTCACAGTAAAACTAGTTTCCTATTTCCTAAAAATTCCAGAGGGATAGGAATGGCATTACACCACTAAAACTTTGTACCAATCTGATAGTGGAACTTATTTTAAAATATGGCTATACAAAGACTATGTGTTTTACGTTCTCCCTCCCAATTTTCACTCCTCTTTTGCAACCAATGCTGTGGTTCAGTTCCAATAGTGCCGTCTGTACCTCATCCAGGTCATTCTTCATCCACATCTGACCTTTTTGCACAGGTCACTAGACAACCGTAAAGAACAGGAATTCTGGTTAATTAATTTTCTCGGTTCCCTTTCCCTTCACTGGTCAAGGGATCTGAGGCCAATTGAATATTTCACAACTCTAAAATAGAATGTAATCCACTTTTGAATGGAAGTCTTATTCCATGATTTTAAAATGTAATTGTAATTCTCTTACAGAGATGACCTGTGCTTTTCGAGACCTTTCGATGGCTTTGAATTAATTGTTTTTTTTCGCATAATTTGTACTTTTTTNGTCAAATCTGCTACATACAAGTCACTATTTAAAATTGATTTTTAATCTAACTAGTCATTTGAAGCCTTAAATTGAAAATTATTGCCGGGCTTTATTTCATAAACTAGTATTTCTGAATGGTTTATCTCCTGTGAAAAATGTTTATTAATGTAATCTTTTAAGTCACTCTTGCTGACTAATTATTCAAATTACCATGAAATAATATCTGAAATTTACATTCAGTGTAGGGTTAGAATTGCAACCAAATCTCCTGCAGGATTTTCATTCAGAAGATTACCTAAAACCTGATCTAAATGACTTACAAACGCACTAAAAATTGTGGAAAAGACCTGAGTATTTAAACAATCTGTTCAAACATTATCTGTTAAATTGTGATACTGAGTCTGTAATTACTCATACAGTGGACGTGAGGAAAGTTTACTCTTTAATGGAACATAATCGTGAGGTGGTCTCCAATTTATGAAGAGCTGTTGTTTCACTCTATGATGGTAGGTGTCTTTGTTTACAGCCAAACAGGGAAAAAGCTGATGGCCAAATGTCGGATGTTAATTCAGGAAAACCAGGAACTGGGGAGGCAGCTGTCCCAGGGGCGCATCGCACAGCTAGAGGCTGAATTAGCTTTACAGAAAAAATACAGCGAGGAGCTCAAAAGCAGTCAAGATGGTGAGTGGAGCTCAATACTTGGCCACAGTTGGAAAACTCCTGCTTTTCTGGAGGCACTCTTGGAATAATAGTAGACTGCCTTTTTTAAGTTTGCCTATTTCACCAATTAATATTTATACCTATATTAGTATATATAAAAGTATTTATAATTGAATTAACGCAATTTGAAGTAAAAGATATTTGACTTCCATTATATGCATTTTAAATTCAGCTTTTAACCCCACTTAAGCATTGATAATGGTAATATCTTAGCAGTGCTTTGAAATATTGAGTGATTTCCTGGAGAGGTTAAACAACCTGAGGGCAAGACACAGTCGGTCATTCCTTTAATCTTTCTGGAAACTGGGACAAGTTAGCCTTCCTGTGTCCTTAACCAAAACACTGTGTCATTGCTCAGGAACATCTTGGACGAGAGAATATATTTTAAAGATCACAATAGTGTTAAGTGGTACAAAGGCTTTTAAAAACTTGGATGTATTTTAAAATCTCGTATAATCTGGCTTCCTATGGTCCTGAATGCTGTGAGTGAATAGTAGATAACTTCATGGCCTAAGGTTGATGTGTATGTTTATAATTCTTACACTTTGGGCTGTCAGTTTCCTATAATATCCAGATGTGCAAAGCTAGTTGAGCCTGTATAGAGTTTGTTGTGCTTCAAAAATATTGGGTTGGTGATAGAATTTTTTATTTCATAACCTGTGATTTGTTTATGATTCTGCTTATTTCCTATTGATTTTAATGCAGTGTTATCACAAAGTCTGTTATCATATTTTGGTACCATCAAAAAGTAAACATAGTTGATGTGCTTTTTGCAAGTTGTAAAAGCTTTTTGGTATTTTATAACAACCAGCTTTCACCACTACCAGTACGACAACCCACTGAAGTACAGCATAGCTCAAAATTCTCTCAGACTCAAATTGTGCAGGACAAAAATCTATATTTAGTTTCTGCTTTTTGGTATTTTAAGTGGACAGGCTATGGAAAGTTACAGAACTGTAATTATACTTTGAAATCGTAGTGACACATTGCAGTTTTTTTCCTGCCTCTGTCTTATCTTTAGAGTTCAAAATCCTTGTCATCGCCTTCAAAGCCCTCCACAGCCTTGCCCCTTCCTACCTCTGGGACCTGCTAACCCCTTATCAACCTGTCCTCTCCCTCTGCTCAGCAGGATCCAACCTTCTCCACGTCCCCCGCCCGGCCCACCCCACCACCATCATCGGTCAGGCCATCAGCCTCTCCGCTGCCAACTTTTGGAACTCCATCCCACATTACCACACACCCTCCTTTGCCTCTTTCAAGGCACGTCTCAGGACCCTCCTCTTTGACCATGCCTTCAGCCACCCTCCCTTACCGGAACCCCCACTCCCCCCCATCCCCCCCCACCCACTCAGGCCCAAAACTCTGAGGGATGTCCTCCCGACGTGAAAGGCGCTATACAAATGTAATTTTGTAATGCATTGTCTTATTTAAGAACCTGAGATATTTTAAGAAAATTATTTTCTGCAGAGAGTTTCTTAATATATCATAAAGTAATCAAATACACCAGTTGGCTTCAGAACAAAGCATCTGGAATATAAAAGCAAGGATATGTAGCTGTAGTTATGTAAAGTACTGGTCAGAACTAACTAATCAGATACGAGGACTGATATACATGCACTAGGTTGGAGAGAGTGGAATAACAACAGATTAATACCTGGATTGAAGAGATTTATAGTTCTATAAAGAGAGGCTATGTAAAGTTATTCGTTAGAGCTGAGAAGGTTAAATGGTGATCTGATTGAACTGTTTAAATTAATGAGAGGACTTGCTAGCCAATGATAATTCTGCTTCTACTAGTAATATAATAATAATAATCCTTGCATTTGATATAGCGCTTTTCACGTCGGGAGGACGTCCCAAAGCGCTTCACAGAATACACTGTAAAGTGAATTGACTATATTTGTGGGCGAACAGCAGTGTCCCACAAACAGTCGTGGATTGAAAATGACCAATTTATTATTGTTTTGGTTTTGGAGGGATTATTATTAGGCTCTGTGTGGATTAAGGAAACTTGCCCAAGGTTTCGCCCTCTGCCTGGAATTGAACTCAGGTCTCTCGCTTGCAAAGCGAGTGCTCTAACCACTGAGCTACAGGACTCCACGAGGTCCAAAGGGAGATGGAAATCTTAAAATAAGATCTAAACTGATTAGAAATTGCTATGTGACTCAAACATAGGAACAGGAGTAGTATTCAGACCATCGTGCAAGTTCCATCATTTATTAGACAATGGAAGATCTTTTAATTCCATTTCCTCCACATCACTTAATACCCTTATTTGCTAGCTTGTTTGCCAATGCAAAATGCCTTGAAGAGGGGAGAAAGAATTAACAGGTAAAAATTGTCCCAGGTTAATTGATTGTGAGTATTATTCTCTTTTGAAATGGTAATGTTCTGTTTTTTATCCATTACCCGTCAATCAAAGCTTCTCAACAATGGGCAGATGTTTTGTGGAGAAATTAACCTTTCAGCTTTTGGCCCTCATTCCTCCATGTCACATATAGGATATAATTTCTGTTGTGCATTTTGGGTCGTGCACCAACCATATGATTACCTTGGGTTGTGGTAGCCGTGTTTATCATACTATAGATTTTTAGATTCCATATTTGTTCACATTCCATATAATTCATAACACAAGCAAGCATATTGCTGCGAGATGATTATTGTTTACATATTGCTTTGATCCCTATTAAAATTTCCTGATGGTGATAACAGATCAGGCTTCCAAGAAGGAATGTAACCTTGAAATTTCTTCCATGCCCCTGAAGGTACAGTAATTGTTCAAAACAATCATTTTCCAGGATAACAATGTTAATTTTTCTAACAGGGATTGTTAGCAGGGAAGAAGTGTTCCTTTAAGATTTCATGACAGGTGGTGATTCTCTTCATACTAGAAACTGTTTGGAATGGGCTCGGTGTTAGCATTTGAAAACTGTTGAGCAATTTTGGACAGGTGTATTATTGTCACATTTGTCGATAAAATAAATGGTGGTTGTGGTGGCAGGTATCACTTTAACAGATGTTCAACTTTCACAAGATTCACCTGCATAAGATCCAAATACGCTATAGTTTTTCTCTGATCCAATGATTTTCCGTCATTCCTGATAAATAATTTTATGTAGGTGGGTGGGGGTTAATACTCTATGAAATGCAGTGGCAAATGTTTCTTTTTAAAAAAATATTTTAAGCAGCTAATGTCAGAAAACACATGAAGTTTGAAACTCTTTGAAGATCACTGATGATTAGGGTCTTAAGCCCTGCACCAGAAAAATCCTCTTTTAACTTTTTAGTTACAATTGTAAAATGTGTAGATTGTATGTTTACATGTTTTTTATTTTCTGTGAAATTCAATATTAATACATTAAACTACTGCATGTTCGTGCCCAACTCAATATCAAAATGCATGCTGTGTAATGCAACGGGGTTTTCTATGGAAATGTAACCTTGTTTGTTTTATTTTGGGCTAAATCTCTATGGTGGCTATTCTCTTACTGAACTATTCTTTAATCCTTGTGTAGAGCTGAATGATTTCATCATCCAGCTTGACGAGGAGGTGGAAGGGATGCAAAGTACCATCCTGGTTCTGCAGCAGCAGCTGAAGGAGACGCGCCAGCAGTTGGCTCAGCTTCAGGGACAACAGCACCACCTGGTGTTAACCCCTGGTACCAGCAGGACTCCAGCCCCTGAGCCTTCTGCAACAGGTGAGGCCATTATTAAAGACTGCAGCCGGCTGGTGAATGGACCAACCAACGGTGACTCATCTCCACAAAGGCGAGCAGCAGCTACCTACCAAGATAAAGCCAGCCTTTACAGAGAAGGAAGCAGCACAGAGGACGATTTCCCATCTTCTCCAGGCAGTGGGAATAAGCTTTCCAACCACAGTGAAGAAAGGCTGGACCGAGCAGGCAGCAGTAACATGTATCAGCTAGGTGCTGGTTATGAGAGTGTAGACTCCCCCACTGGTAGTGAGAACTCTCTTACTCAGCATTCAAATGACACAGACTCCATCAATGACCCTCAGGAAGATAAACCACTTGTTGTGAAAGGTACCAGAACTATGGGTTCCCGCCATGTTCAGAATGGTTTGGACTCTGTCAGCACACAGGGGTCAGTTTTGTAACACTTAACAGGTTTTGTCTGCAGTTTTTTTTATATAGTGTCATTTCATTTGGCTGATGGCTGTCCAGTGACTTGGAGCTAGTGTGTAATTTTGTTTAAAATTCAGCCTTTTTGTGTTTTTGCTTTCTTGTAAAACTGTTGCTACTGTTCAAATTTTTTAAAAACATCATAATTGCGTTGGCCGTTGCTAAAAGGATGTTGATACATGTAGACCTCAGTTATTTTTATATGATTTAATCTGAATAAAATGTATTACTACACGTTTAACATTGAAACCGTGTAAAACAGTAAATCTGTGTACATCTAGGACTCCAGTAAAACACTGTTTGTAGGCATCTTACTGTGACCCTGTCATGCAGTCCTGCAACTTATGAAAGTTGCATCAGTATGTGTGTGATAATGTAAGCTTGCCAAATGCAGTAGTTATTTTCCAAAGCGAGTTTGGATGTTGTACTTGCCATATTCAGGTTTGGGGAGTTGCTGTAGTTTGTTTTAACTACAGTGACTTTTTCGCCACGCATATGTGTAAATTTTCCCCAGTAACAGACTGTGTTAACGAATAGTATAAATTGTTACCCAGTTTCTAGGAAGAGTTGTTTCCTGTGTAATGCATATTCTGTGACTATCCCCAGAAATCCCTCACTTGTACTGACCAAACTTAATAAAGACTTTTAATATCCTACATCTTGAATTTTATTTTCAGTTAATTATTTCCAGTTCTGATTAAATGCTGTTTTGGCTGTAATGCTCAGGACAATGTCATACTGTCATTCAGACAACTGTGCATTTGCCACCTGCTGGAATTTCCCCCCCCTCCTCACCTCTAGGGTTCCTTGCAAGAGATTGGCAGAGAGCCTGTTCCTGAACTTTGACCTTGGAAGTGGCCATTAGATGACACAAGGTCATTTTTTTAATGTTTTCTCCCTTTCCTGATTACAAAGTTGAAATGGGAATATACGCAGACTTCTCAACCATGAAGGATGAGCTCAAATCTGCCTGCCCTATGCTAACATCTTCCTGCATGTTGGTACCCAGGATAGTTGGATACAACAACACGTCGGGAGAACGTCCCAAGTCGCTGTAAAGTTGGGTCAGGACCCAAGCATCGGGGGAAATGGTCAGGGTGAGGGGAGGGAGCGAGGAGGGGGTGGAGAGTCGAGAGGGGAGGTGAAGGCACGGTCAAAGAGAAAGGTTTTGAGACCGGCCTTGAAGGAGGAAAGGGAGGAGGCGGCGAAGGCACTGGGGGATAGAGTTCCAGAGCCTGGGGGCTGAGAGGCTGAAGGCCCGGCCACCGATGGTAGGGCGGTTGGGGCGGGGGATGTGGAGCAGACCGGAGGGTACGGGCAGGTAGGTAGGGGGATAGTAGGTTGGAGAGGTAGGAGGGAGCAAGGCCGTGAATGGCCTTGTAGGTGAGGATGAGGATCTTGAAATCAATCCTCTGGGGGATGGGGAGCCAGTGGAGGCGAGCGAGGGTGGGAGTGATGTGGTCCGAAGCCTGGTGCGGGACAGTACACGAGCTGCAGAGTTCTGAATGACCTGCAGCTTGTGGAGGGAGGTGCCGGGAAGGCCGGCGAGGAGAGAGTTCCCATAGTCCAGCCTTGAGGTGATAAAGGCGTGGACCAGGTTTCAGCAGCGTGAGGGGTGAGGTAGTGCCGTAGTCTGGCGATGTTCCGGAGGTGATGGAAGGCGGTGCCAGTTGTGGCGCGGATATGAGGGAGAAAGGACAGCTCAGGGTCGAACAGAACCCGAGGTTCCTGACTGGCTTTGAGAGGTGGAGAGTGCAGCCTTGGATGCTGATGGTGTCAGCGCCTGAGGTGCGGAGGCGCTGACGTGAGCCAATCAGGAGGGCCTCGGTTTTCGCACGTTGAGCTGAAGAAAGTTGTCTCTCGTCCAGGACTCGATGTCGGACAGGCAGCTGTCAGGACATCGGTGGTCGTGGAGTTGAGGGTAGAGGAGGAAAGGTAGAGTTGGGTGTCATCCGCATACATGTGGAAGTTAACCCCATGTCTGCGGATGATGTCACCAAGGGGGAGCATATAGAGGGTGAAGAGGAGGGGACCGAGGACAGAGCCCTGAGGGACACCGCACGAGACAGTGCGGGGGGGGAGGAAAAACCATTCGTGGAAACAAAGTGAAGACGGTGGGAGAGGTACGACCTAAACCACTCAAGGACAGGGCCTTGAAGGTTGAGGTGGGAGGACAAGCGGTGGAGGAGGATAGCGTGGTCGACCGTATCGAATGCTGCCGATAGGTCGAGGAGGACGAGGAGGCAGAGGGAGCCCTGGTCACAGATGGTCAGGATGTCATTGGTGACCTTGACCAGGGCAGTTTCTGTGCTATGGGCAGCACGGAAACCCGACTGAAGGGGTTCGAATAATGAATGGGTGGAGAGGAAAGAGCGCAGCTGGGAGGCGACAACTCGTTCCAGGACCTTGGACAGGAAGGGGAGGTTGGAGATGGGCCGGTAGCTTGATAGCTGCGACGCATCAAGGGAGGGTTTTTTCAAGGTGGGAGTGATGGTGGCAGTTTTTAAGGGAATGGGAAAAGAGCCAGAGGAGAGGGACAGGTTGACGATGTCTGTGATATGTGGGGCAAGGAGGTGGAGCTGGGAGATAAGGAGTGGAGTGGGGATGGGGTCAAGGGAGCAGGTGGTGGGTTTCAGGGATAGGATGAGTTTGGTGACAGAGGGTGGGGAAACGGGTACGAAGTGTGTAGGGGAGGATGGGTAGGAGTCGGAGTGTGGGAGGGAAGGGGTGGGGGTGGGTGGATGTTGGAGGGGAAGTGACCGCGGAGCGAATTCCCTTGATTTGGATTCAAGGAAATCCAGCATCTCCTCGCAGTGAAGGTTGGAGGAGATGACCTGCGCGGGGTGGCGGGGGGACGGAGGAGTCGGGATGTGGTAGAAAACAGTAGCCTGGGGTTGTTCTTCGCCTCCAGGATTATCCTGGAGTAGAAGGACGATTTGGCCGAGGCTAGAGTGGAGCGGTAGATTTTGAGGAGGTCCAGCCAGATTTGTCGGTGGACCGTTAGGCCAGATTTGACGCAGGTGCGTTCAGCGGCCCGCACCTGGCTCTTCAGTGAGCGGAGGTGGGTGGTGAACCAGGGGGAGGAGCGAGAGTAGGAGACAGTACGGGAAGTGATGGGGGCAAGAGTGTCAAGTGTGGAGGAGAGGGTGTTGAGGAGGGTGAGAGCAGAAGAGGGGTCAGTGAGGGTTGAAGGCCAGAGGGAGAGGAGTTCAGAGGACTCCAAGGCAGCGGTTAGGGATTGTGGGGGTAACTTCTTCCAGGGCGGTAGAAGATGGTGGTGGGTCTGGTGGAGGTGGGGAGGGGGGTGGAGGTGGTGAAGGAGATGAAGTGGTGGTCGGAGATGGCCTTGTCGGTGATAGTGACATCCGAGACACTGAGGCCCCGGGTGATCACCAAGTCGAGTGGGTGGCCGTGACTGTGAGTGGGGGAGTTGATGTGGAGGGAGAGGTTGAGCGAGGAGAGCAGGGAAGAGAAATCTGAGGAGATGGAGCAGGAGGGGGTGAAGTGCAGGTTAAAGTCGCCCAGGATGATGAGGCGATCAGAGCAGAGGCAGAGAGATGTGAGAGTGTTGAGATATCAGAGATAAAGGTGGGAGAGGTTTTAGGGGGCCGGTAGAGGAGGAGGATTTTAAGTGAGAGGAAGGAGGGGTGGGAGAGGGTGAGGTGCTCAAAAGAGGGGAAAGAGCCAGAGGAGTAGGGGGATAGGGCAAGTGGTGTCCTTGAGATAAGGGCAACACCACCGCCACGGCGGTTGGGGCGAGGGATGTGGTGGGAGGTGTAGCCGGGTGGTGTGGCCTCCGTGAGGGGGAAGGTGTCGCCTGGGGTGAGCCAGGTTTCCGTTAAGGCCATGATGTCAACGCTCTCATCAAGGATGAGATCGTTGATGACCAGGGCCTTGTTACAGAGGGAGCGGACGTTTTGTAGTCCGATGTGGAGGGAGCGGTTGACAGAAGGGTGTGTGGGAGGGGGGGGGTCCAGGTTGTGAGGCAGGGGTGGGGGAATGGGGATAAGGGAGGAGAGGTTGGCTCCCCGGGTCTGTGTCCGGGGTGGCTGGCGAGTGTGGTGGGGAATGGGGCAGTCGGTGTGGCTGCTGCTGGACAGCCAACGCCGAGTGCCACGGTGAGCCCGGCGGAGGATTCCCAGGCTGGAGCAGAGGGAGGTTGTGGGAGGGTCAAGTGGGGATAGAAGGCGAGAGGGACGGAGAGAGAGGAGGACAGAGCGGGAGAGATGCAGAGGGGGGAGGGTTTGGGGGTAGAGAGGAGGGAGGAGGGAGGGAGGGGGTGAGGGGGGGAGAGTCATAGCGGCAGCCATAGTGCGCACGCGGGGACTGGGAGCGAGCGATCAGGTGGATGGAAACATTATCCTGTGGGCTGGGGCAGCCAACCTAACAGGACCATGATGGGCCCTGATGTGAGCCCTGGGGTGGGTGGGGGGGGCGCAGAGGTTTTTTTTTCTTTTTGCACGCGCGCACACTTCTGAAAACTACAACCATGGCGTCAGTGGTTCCCCCGCTCCGCCCCCATCCATTCCCTTCTCAGCCCCACAGACCCGCAGCCCCGCTAGCTGCACTCACTCCCTGCCGCCGCGACCTTAAATACCTGGGTAGGTAAGCCCAGGGTCCTCCCCGCACTGTCCTGCCGCCGCTCCCTGTGTCATGAGGTCATGAGGAGGATTCCTGGCTGCTGCTTCTTTTCTAGGGGAACTGTGACCAACTTGTTCCCTTGTTGAGAGCAATGAATGGAGCACAGACCAGAGATGGAACCCAGGTCTTCTGGAATATGACTAAGTTTCACCGCTAGTAATGCACTTATCAATTGGGCCATCAAAACTCTTCAAGCAGATTTTTTAATACTTTCATGGATATGAAGACTTTTTGATCCTCCAAAGATCTATTTTGTGCAAAGTCTAGCTCCTTATAGTTTGAACTATAACTAGGTTGAGATTACCTAGTTTAGCTGGCATCCAAATAGCTTTTATCACCTAGATGCTGGTAAACAATTGAATGTTTAACTGGTACCCTACTGCTACCTTAAAGATGCTGTGAGATGAGTCAAAAGACTCACTTTTGATATCTTCAGCACTCACTGTTTAAATAAATATTCTACTTAAAAGCAAAAAAAATTGCTTTTTCATTCAATCTACGACTGTGTGTGAGACTACTGTGTGCAATTGGCTGCTGCTTTCGCTCACAAAATACAATATCAGTATATTCAACCACTTTACAATGTATTCTGTGAAGAGCTTTGAGACGTCTCAATGACTTGATAAGGCGCTATCAAATGCAAGGATTATTACATTATTATTAAAAATACATAAGAATTTATTCTTATAATCCTCCAAATAAATATTCATTATCTATTAGTGTAGTTAGTATGTTCCAATATGGTTAGCATAAGTAACCAGTTTATGCACTGAAGAAACAAAAACCTCCAGAAAGTAGTGCAAGAGCTCTAATGAAGGAACACATTAATTAAAATGTCTTTATAGCTCTTTTTTCTACATTTTCTCAAATTTGTTTAGTTGTTTAAGTAAACAATACAAATTTACATTCATAAAGTGCCTTTCACATCGGGTGCGTGTCCCAAGGCACTTAATAATAATGACATGTTACCCGAGCTGGTGGTGGATGAGGAGCATAAAGATGACTAAAATCGCG